TAGTCATGTGGGGTAGTCATGTGGGGTAGTCATGTGGTTTAGGCAGTTATGTGGGGTAGTCATGTGGGGTAGTCATGTGGGATAGTCATGTGGTTTAGACAGTCATGTGGGGTAGTCATGTGGGGTAGTCATGTGGGGTAGTCATGTGGGGTAGTCATGAGGGGTAGTCATGTGGGGTAGTCATGTGGGGTCATGTGGGTAGTCATGTGGGGTAGTCATGTGGGGTAGTCATGTGGTTTAGTCAGTCATGTGGGGTAGTCATGTGGGGTAGTCATGTGGGGTAGTCATGTGGTTTAGTCAGTCATGTGGGGTAGTCATGTGGGGTCATATGGGTAGTCATGTGGGGTAATCATGTGGGGTAGTCATGTGGTTTAGGCAGTCATGTGGGGTAGTCATGTGGGGTAGTCATGTGGTTTAGTCAGTCATGTGGGGTAGTCATGTGGGGTAGTCATGTGGGGTAGTCATGTGGGGTAGTCATGTGGGGTAGTCATGAGGGGTAGTCATGTGAGGTAGTCATGTGGGGTAGTCATGTGGGGTAGTCATGTGGGGTAGTCATGTGGTTTAGTCAGTCATGTGGGGTAGTCATGTGGGTTAGTCATGTGGGGTCATGTGGGTAGTCATGTGGGGTAGTCATGTGGGGTAGTCATGTGGGGTCATCTGGGTAATCATGTGGGGTAGTCATGTGGGGTAGTCATGTGGGGTAGTCATGTGGGGAAGTCATGTGGGGTAGTCATGTGGGGTAGTCATGTGGTTTAGTCAGTCATGTGGGGTAGTCATGTGGGGTAGTCATGTGGGGTAGTCATGTGGGGTAGTCATATGGGGTAGTCATGTGGTTTAGTCAGTCATGTGGGGTAGTCATGTGGGGTAGTCATGTGGGGTAGTCATGTGGGGTAGTCATGTGGGGTAGTCAGTCATGTGGGGTAGTCATGTGGGGTAGTCATGTGGGGTAGTCATGTTGGGGTAGTTATGTGGGATCGTCATGTGGGGTAGTCATGTGGGGTAGTCATGTGGGGTAGTCATGTGGGGTAGTCATGTGAGGTAGTCATGTGGGGTAGTCATGTGGTTTAGTCAGTCATGTGGGGTAGTCATGTGGGGTAGTCATGTGGGGTAGTCATGTGGGGTAGTCATATGGGGTAGTCATGTGGTTTAGTCAGTCATGTGGGGTAGTCATGTGGGGTAGTCATGTGGGGTAGTCATGTGGTTTAGTCAGTCATGTTTGGTAGTCATGTGGGGTCGTGTGGGGTAGTCATGTGGGTTAGTTATGTGGGGTAGTCATGTGGGGTAGTCATTTGGTTTAGTCAGTCATGTGGGGTAGTCATGTGGGGTAGTCATGTGGGGTAGTCATGTGGGGTAGTCATGTGGGGATCATGTGGGTTAGTCATGTGGGGTAGTCATGTGTGGTAGTCATGTTGGGTAGTCATGTGGGGTAGTCATGTGGGGTAGTCATGTGGGGTAGTCATGTGGGGTAGTCATGTGGTTTAGGCAGTCATGTGGGGTAGTCATGTGGGGTAGTCATGTGGGATAGTCATGTGGTTTAGACAGTCATGTGGGGTAGTCATGTGGGGTAGTCATGAGGGGTAGTCATGTGGGGTAGTCATGTGGGGTCATGTGGGTAGTCATGTGGGGTAGTCATGTGGGGTAGTCATGTGGTTTAGTCAGTCATGTGGGGTAGTCATGTGGGGTAGTCATGTGGGGTAGTCATGTGGTTTAGTCAGTCATGTGGGGTAGTCATGTGGGGTAGTCATGTGGGGTAGTCATGTGGGGTAGTCATGTGGGGTAGTCATGTGGGGTAGTCATGTGGGGTAGTCATGTGGGGTAGTCATGTGGGGTAGTCATGTGGTTTAGTCAGTCATGTGGGGTAGTCATGTGGGGTAGTCATGTGGGGTAGTCATGTGGGGTAGTCATGTTGGGTAGTCATGTGGGGTAGTCATGTGGGTAGTCATGTGGGGTAGTCATGTGGGGTAGTCATGTGGGGTAGTCATGTGGGGTCATGTGGGGTAGTTATGTGGGGTCATGTGGGGTAGTCATATGGGGAAGTCATGTTGGGGAAGTCATGTTTGGGTAGTCATGTGGGGTAGTCATGTTGGGTAGTCATGTGAGGTAGTCATGTGGGGTAGTCATGTGGGGTAGTCATGTGGTTTAGTCAGTCATGTGGGGTAGTCATAAGGGGTATTCATGTGGAGTAGTCATGTGGGGTAGTCATGTGTGGTAGTCATGTGGGGTAGTCATGTGGGGTCATGTGGGGTAGTCATGTGGGGTAGTCATGTTGGGGTAGTTATATGGGGTCGTCATGTGGGGTAGTCATGTGGGGTAGTCATGTGGGGTAGTCATGTGGTTTAGTCAGTCATGTGGGGTAGTCATGTGGGGTAGTCATGTGGGGTAGTCATATGGGGTAGTCATGTGGTTTAGTCAGTCATGTGGGGTAGTCATGTGGGGTAGTCATGTGGGGTTGTCATGTGGGGTAGTCATGTGGGGTAGTCATGTGGGGTAGTCATGTGGGGTAGTCATGTGGTTTAGTCAGTCATGTGGGGTAGTCATGTGGGGTAGTCATGTGGGGTAGTCATGTGGGGTAGTCATGTGGTTTAGTCAGTCATGTTTGGTAGTCATGTGGGGTCGTGTGGGGTAGTCATGTGGGTAAGTTATGTGGGGTAGTCATGTGGGGTAGTCATTTGGTTTAGTCAGTCATGTGGGGTAGTCATGTGGGTAGTCATGTGGGGTAGTCATGTGTGGTAGTCCTGTGGGGTAGTTATGTGGGGTAGTCATGTGGGGTCATGTGGGTAGTCATGTGGGGTAGTCATGTGGTTTAGTCAGTCATGTGGGGTAGTCATGTGGGGTAGTCATGTGGGGTAGTCATGTGGGGTAGTCATGTGGTTTAGTCAGTCATGTGGGGTAGTCATGTGGGGTAGTCATGTGGGGTAGTCATGTGGTTTAGTCAGTCATGTGGGGTAGTCATGTGGGGTAGTCATGTGGGGTAGTCATGTGGGGTAGTCATGTGGGGTAGTCATGTGGGGTAGTCATGTGGGGTAATCATGTGGGGTAGTCATGTGGGGAAGTCATGTGGGGATCATGTGGATTAGTCATGTGGGGTAGTCATGTGTGGTAGTCATGTTGGGTAGTCATGTGGGGTAGTCATGTGGGGTAGTCATATGGGGTAGTCATGTGGGGTAGTCATGTGGGGTAGTCATGTGGGGCAGGGGCGTAGTGAGGGTGGGGCGGGGGGTGCGGACCGCACCGGGTGACACCATTTAGGGGGGTGACACCAAGGCAAAAAATAGCAAAATATATAGAGAAAGACTCGAGGGGGGGTGCAAATCGAAAGTTTGATGGGGGGGGGGTTGCAAATCGAAAATCTGAAAGTTTGTCCCTGGGAAGGGTCTCTATGCCTCTGGGGGGGGTGACACCATTAAGTGCCGCACCGGGTGACAACCGACCACGCTACGCCACTGGTGTGGGGTAGTCATGTGGGGTAGTCATGTGGGGAAGTCATGTGGGATCATGTGGGTAGTCATGTGGGGTAGTCATGTGGGGTAGTCATGTGGGGTAGTCATGTGGTTTAGTCAGTCATGTGGGGTAGTCATTTGGGGTCGTCATGTGGGGTAGTCATGTGGGGTAGTCATGGGGGGTCATGTGGGGTAGTCATGTGGGGTAGTCATGTGGGGTAGTCATGTTGGGTAGTCATGTGGGGTAGTCATGGGGGGTCATGTGGGGTAGTCATGTGGGGTAGTCATGTGGTTTAGTCAGTCATGTGGGGTAGTCATTTGGGGTCGTCATGTGGGGTAGTCATGTTGGGTAGTCATGTGGGGTAGTCATGTGGGGTAGTCATGTGGGGTAGTCATGTGGGGTAGTCATGGGGGGTCATGTGGGGTAGTCAGTCATGTGGGGTAGTCATGTGGGGTAGTCATGTGGGGTAGTCATGGGGGGTCATGTGGGGTAGTCATGTGGGGTCATGTGGGTAGTCATGTGGGGTAGTCATGTGGGGTAGTCATGTGGGGTAGTCATGTGGGGTAGTCATGGGGGGTCATGTGGGGTAGTTATGTGGGGTCATGTGGGGTAGTCATGTGGGGTAGTCATGTGGGGTAGTCATGTGTGGTAGTTATGTGGGGTCATGTGGGGTAGTCATGTGGGGTAGTCATGTGGGGTAGTCATGTGGGGTAGTCATGTGGGGTAGTCATGTGGGGTAGTCATGTGGGGTAGTCATGTGGGGTAGTCATGTGGGGTAGTCATGTGGGGTAGTCATGTGGGGTCATGTGGGGTAGTCATGTGGGGTCATGTGGGTAGTCATGTGGGGTAGTCATGTGGGGTAGTCATGTGGGGTAGTCATGTGGGGTAGTCATGTGGGGTAGTCATGTGGGGTAGTCATGTGGGGTAGTCATGTGGGGTAGTCATGTGGGGTAGTCATGTGGGGTAGTCATGTGGGGTAGTCATGTGGGGTAGTCATGTGGGGTAGTCATGTGGGGTAGTCATGTGGGGTAGTCATGTGGGGTAGTCATGTGGGGTAGTCATGTGGGGTAGTCATGTGGGGTAGTCATGTGGAGTAGTCATGTGGGGTAGTCATGTGGGGTAGTCATGTGGGGTAGTCATGTGGGGTAGTCATGTGGAGTAGTCATGTGGGGTAGTCATGTGGGGTAGTCATGTGGGGTCGTTATGAGTGGTGTTGTTATCATGAGGGACAATTTTGTCAAGAGAGATACTTTAGTTTTGAGGGTTACTTTTGTCATGAGGGGTACCTTTATAATAAGTGACACTTAAGTCTATCTTCAAAGTCGGTTGGGTGTTGTATATACCTAGAGGGACGCTATAGTTTAACAAAATCAAATTAAAAACGTTGTGGATAATTTATCAAATTTATTGTTTGCCACTTGTAGTGGCGGATAGTATGACAATTTTAATGTTGTTTATATGAGAGTTATATAATTTAATTTTAAAAAGAGTATGACTTATTTATTTATTGAATCTGATGATTCCGGAAATAGAGAATCCACTCTGTAATTTTTAGAACTTGGAGTAAATGCTATTGGAGACAGTTTATTTTTCTCTATGACGAGCCTGGGTCTGAGCCTCAGAATAGACCGATCTATGGAGACTTTTGTGACATTCAGTGTTGATGCACGTCGTCGGTACACGGGGATATGGACAGGTGCCTGTGGGAACTTTGATGACCAGTTCACAGGTAGGTTTTTAACATCAGTACACAGGTAGTTTTTAATACCAGTACACAGGTAGGTTTTCAATATCAATACATAGTCTGGTTCATACCATCAATACACAGGTAGGTTTTTGACATCAGTACACAGGTAGGTTTTTTACTGGTAGGTTTTTAACATCAGTATACAAGTATATTTTTAACATCAGTATACAAGTAGGTTTTTAACATCAGTATACAAGTAGGTTTTTAACATCAGTATACAAGTAGGTTTTTAACATCAGTACACAGGTAGGTTTTTAACATCAGTACAGGGGTATGTTTTTAACATCAGTACACAGGTAGGTTTTTAACATCAGTACAGGGGTATGTTTTTAACATCAGTACAGGGGTAAGTTTTTAACATCAGTATACAGATAGATTAGTAGTGATTTCAAATAGGTTTTTATCATCATACATATGCAGGTTTGTAACACCAGTACAGGAGTACATTGTATTTGTGTCATCAGTACACTTGTAGGATGTAACATCAGTACAATAAGTAGATAGATTGAGAGCATCGGTACATATTTTAATAACTTCACAGCTTACTTTGATAATATTTTAAAATTATGAAACATCATTAGTACACTAGGATGATGAAACGATAGTAGAATATTTCTGACATGTGTAACCATCTTTTATGATGTGTGTAGATGAGATCAAGCTAGCCACCAACAGACATGAAGCCGAGACTTATGGACAGTTACATTCTCGAGACCCAGTAAGTTGTATTTGCTCCATCAACGGCTGTCTTTCACATGGTTTATCGTGTTCACACTTGCTATTCCAAAATACTATATTCAATCAAATGTCATTTTTGTAAATACTCATTATTTCTATTAATTACATATTCCACATTTTTTTACTAATGTTATTCTGAGTTTGTTCTTAGTCTTTGTGACGTAACACTATTATCTGTTTCTTCATTTCATTTTATTAACAGGTGTTGTATCGGCTCTACTAACTTTGTCTCTGTGTGTTTCACTACTCTATTCTCTGTTTCTTAGCTCCGTGTATTTGGTGTGTATTGTATCGACTCTACTCCACCTGTCTTTGTGTTACACTACTCTATTTTCTGTTTCTTTATTCCGTGTATTTGGCGTGTATTGTATCGACTCTACTCCACCTGTCTCTGTGTGTTACACTACGCTATTCTCTGTTTCTTTATTCCGTGTATTTGGCGTGTATTGTATCGACTCTACTCCACCTGTCTCTCTATGTTTCACTACACTACTCTCTGTTTCTTAACTCCGTGTATTCTGTGTGTATTGTATCGACTCTACTCCACCTGTCTCTGTATTCCTCCAGTGCAGTGCTCCTGCCAGCAAGTGCCGTACCCAGAGAGAGAGGGATGAGGCCAAGAGAATGTGCTCAGTGCTCACCTCACGTCTCTTTCAAAACTGCCATGACCAGGTCAGTCATTTACAGGGAATTATACATGTATTTATTATATGTGTACATATGCACATCATATTTGTAAATGTGTACATCGTATATGTACATGTGTACATCATATATGTACATGTGTTTATCATATCTGAACATGTGTACATGAAATTTGTACATGTGTACATCATAAATGTAAATAAAATCCTGGTATATTTCTTGTATCAACAGGTTAGCGTGTAAATAAAATCCTGGTATATTTCTTGTGTCTACAGGTTAGCGTGGAGCCGTACATAAATTCTTGCGAGGTCTCTGTGTGTGCCTCGAGTCCTGGCAGGAAACAGGCGATGAGGTGCCAGGCTATTAGTGCATACACAACGTCTTGCGCTCATGTGAATATCGTCATAGACTGGCGAACAAGGCTCTCTTGTGGTTCGTTAGTTTCTAACATGTTATTTATAATTTTTAATTTTAACTGGTTTCTTTGTGTCATTACACAAAATAATTGTGCCTGACAGGTACAAGCTAGGATAATATAATGTAAAGTGAATAAATCTATACAGAACAAATGTAAAGTAAGATTGTAAATAAAACTTAAGCTGTGGACTCGATTTACAAAAGCGCCATATAATCTAACTATGCTTGAAGGATGTGTTTAAGACTGTAAACCTCACAGAAGGGTTGAAAGAAAGAACTAGTTTTATTTTATTTTAGTAGCAGTACAGAAACCGGTTTTAGAGCCATTGAAGTTATGAGAACTTTGCCATATTTATTTATTCATTTTGTCACATCGTATGCCTGATGGAAATATGCCACTGTCAAAATTAAAATGGGTTCAGCATTACGTACTTTAAAAACATTGTTTGTAACTTATTGTTGTGCGATATAAAATGTATTTTTCATACCAACAGCTCGATCGTGTGGAAACAACATGGTATACATGGATTGCGGCCCTTCGTGTCGGCCATCTTGTGGGCGGCCCCTGTCTTCCTACATCCTTGAGGAGTGCGGGACGTGTGTGCCAGGTTGTCACTGCCAGGAAGGTCACGTGATGTTTAATGGCACCTGCATCCAGGCATCTGATTGTCCCTGTGGGCACAATGGCATCTTCTACGATACCAACGACACGATACAAATACATGATACTTGCCAGATATGGTTAGCTTGTTGTTTACAAATACATAATACTTGCCAAATCTAGCTAGCATGTTTACAAATACAAGATAAATCTGGTTAGCTTGTAGTTTACAAATACATGATACTTGCCAAATCTGGTTAGCTTGTTGTTTACAAATACATGATACTTGCCAAATCTGGTTAGCTTGTTGTTTACAAGTACATGATAAATCTGGTTAGTTTTTAATTTTTACAAATTAATTTTAAATCTGGTTAGCTTTTAATTTAAAAATACATGATAAATCTTGTTTATACACCATCAAATATATTTTTCTTGAATCACAACAATACTTACAAGAGTTATCTCCCTATTTTGAAAAACCATTTTTTTTTTCCTTGTGTTCAGTACATGTGGAAAGTTCGGCCTGTGGAACTGCAGCTATACGTCCTACTGCTACTCGTCCTGCTCGGTGTTTGGGCCGGGTGTTGTGACGACGTTTGACGGGGAAGAATTTATGCTGGCGACCAATGACGTGGCGTGTAACTTCATTCTGGTCTACTCAAAGGTCTGAAGACGTGTTGATGTTGTACAGATGTACCTAGTGGCGTATGCAGGGGGTGTTAGAACCCCCACTGCCCCCCCCCCCCCCCCACACACACACACAATCGACCTCATTAACGAAAGTTGTCTTAAGTTACAAAATAATTACAAACTGATGTTCTCGTGTAACTGTACATTTGGAATTTTAAAACTTCAAACGTCAAAAGATCACACGGTGAAGATCTTAAATAATTTCAGAATTTAATTTAGATTTAGTGTTGTATTTATTTTTAATCTTGAGTAAATAATACAAAGAAAAGTTTTGTGTTTACGCTGACTGATGCCTAAAAGCCAAGGCCACATAATAAATACTAATAAATCTAGGAAGACAACATTTAAGTAAAGAATTATCCCCACATGTTTTAATGTATCTATATCACAATTTGAGTAATAAAGCTAGGCAGGTATTCGTTATCCCCCCTTATGAAGCACCAGAATATTCTTATTTACTCAGTGTAAAAAAAAATTGCAATATCCTTCATACGCTATAAAACTGAACCCTAATTGATTTTGAAGAATAGGTTATTATCAATCAAATATGATCAAGCTTATTGATCTCTGTCTTTAGGAGTTCAACATTGAAATCAACTTGCTGACAAGCCACGCCCCACAAAGGGAGACCAATATTGTGATCAGGGGATTCGAGGTCAAAATCAAAAACCATCACGTTCGGGTGGAGCAAGTCTCGGCTTCAAGTTTTGAAGTGTTGGATATGAAGTCCGCCACAGCAGCCATCTTGCCCTACTTAGAAAGGGATGTTTACATACGTCAGCCGACCGCCAACAGCATTGCAGCAGATTTTAAACACTTCCGTGTCATGTTGTTTGACATGCATTATTTGGTCGTTTCAGCACTCAACTCCAAATACTCAGGATTGGTAAATATTTTACCTTCTAGACCAGTGGTTTTTAACCTGGGTTCTATCGTGAAGTTGATCTCAGGGGTTCGGTGGAGGGCGAGACATCACACGCGACCAACATATTTCATGATTGGATGTCGTCAATGCGGACAAAAGAACTATAAAGAAGGATTCAGTGAATGCGCATAGGAAACTCTTGGGGTTCGGTATTTTTAAAGCAGAGTTTCTTCCAGACATCGCCCCCCGAAGAAAGCTTACCGCCCCCCCCCCGAACAAAATGAAATTTATATAGAAAATATATTTTTTTAACAGTGTCCGCCCCCCCCCCCCCCGAAAAAAGTCTACCGCCCCCCTCCCCCCCCCCCCCCGAACGAAATGAAATTTATATAGAAAATATATTTTTTAACAGTGTCCGCCCCCCCCCCCCCCCAAAATAAGTCTACCGCGCCCCCCCCCCCCTCCCGCAAATTTCAAGAGCCCCCGCCCCCCGGAGAAACACTGGTTTAGAGGATGATATGTATTACCAATTCTATAGAACTATGTTAATTATGTAATATGAGTAGAGCTAAGCGTAGGTGGGAGGAGGAGGGGCGTTGCTTAAATTGTCTTAAAATATCCTTGAAGTTATTAGTGAATGAACTCCCGTAAGAGTCCGTGACTATACAGTTTGCAACCATTAAAGGGAAACAACTCGATAATTACTTTTGTTTGAAGTTGTCTAACATGGTAAAACAAAATTCCGGATTATCAACTACATCGCGAATTATTTTGATTTAAAAAAATAAGTTATTGGCACATCTGCATCTGTTTTGGATATGATATTTTAAAAAGTATAAACATGTGATCTATTGATATTTACCAGGCTAAATAAAAAAAATGTTAAAATAAAAAATGTAAACATTTTAGGGGTCATCCATAAATGACGTCACGCTTTTTTTGACGATTTTTACCTCCCCCCCTCCCCTCCGTCACACGTCGTCACAAAAAGCCAGCCCCCCCCCCCCTAAAATGACGTCACACCTCGACCTACAACCCCCCTCAAAATTGCAGTTAAATTGTTTTTAAACATCCATATTTTTCCAAAATCTTGTCAAAACTATTACAATTTATTAAAACAGTTATCTAAAACGCGAAATAACGTCTAAAATTCGTTTTCTAACATTGCTTTTTTATAATGCAAAAATGTGACGTCGCAACATCTGAACCCCCCCCCCCCCCCCTCTCCCCCTCATCACACATCGTCACAAAATTACGGACCCCCCCCCCCTCCCCCTACGAGTGTGACGTCATTTATGGATGACCCCTTATCTAAACAGCTGAGAGGATTGTGCGGTAACCTCAACAGTTTGATCAGTGATGAGAGAGTCTTAATGTCTGGAATCGAGGCCAACTCTGACGAGATATTTATCCAAGCCTATTCAGAGAGTAGCTGCGGTCACATGAGACAATATAAGCGAATCGCTTCATTTGGCACTTCCGTAAAGGTTTTTTTTTTTTTCATATTCTTAAAATGTGTAATGTTACATTATTTGGAATAAATGTTTTCTTTTAATAAAACAGAACTTTACATGTCAATAAATATATATAGCTTATATATAAATAAATGAATATAGCTTATATATAAATAAATGAATATAAATATATATATATATATATATATATATATATATATATATATATATATATATATATATATATATATATATATATATATATATATATATATATATATATATATATATATATATATATATATGCCTATAATGTTAAAATTTAATATTTTCAGAATCCTGAATTGAAACAAATATTTGATTACTTCCCCTATCCTCAAGAATATGAAAAAATTAGCACCTATTATGCAATCACTAAAGATGAATCTATTTACACTTCTGCACTGCTGAAACTGGCTATTTCATCAGAGACTCATCTAACTTCAGCTTTAAAAGTCATCAGAAATTACTTCAGTACTAAACTGTTACATGGTAAGCTCTAGCATGCCCTAATAAAAATGTAATGGTTGATTCTATTCAGAAATAAAACCCGTATTTACACAAAGCTTAGAGAGTTTAATAATATTAAAGTGAAGATATTTTTAATAGTTCATTAAATTGGTCTTTCAGAATAAACAGCTCTTTCAAAACTTTCAAAAAATTATATAATTAGTCCATTTAATCATGTATAGCCCATTTACCTATATTCTTCAATTGATAAAATATTATATTAACTAGGCCTATTTATCTCAATAGTTTTTCTCAATACTATATTTTATTTCTAGATCTACAGAGCTGTAAGGAAGGATTGAGTTATCGTGAAAATATCAAAATATGTTCAACCCAGTGCATGGATCTGGCATACAGCAAAAAAATGTGTCCTGATAAAATTCTCCAAGGGTGCAGCTGTGAAGAAGGGCTGCTACTCACACATGATGGCCATTGTGTAGCTGAGAGTGAATGCCCTTGCTATAATGCTGAAACAAAAACTTATCTTACACCTGGTCAAGTTTTAAAAATACCTTGTCAGGAATGGTAATATTTTGTTTACAATTACATAAGTAGTTGTGGGAGGGGCTTAATCTGAATGGCCTATCATGTCAGGAATATTTTCATATTTTTTTATTATTACTAAGGGTAGGAGTGCAAATGGCTAAGTCTGAAAGGGAATACCTGAAATTACTATATCTATATCAATTATTAGTTATTAGAATTCATAATACTAAGAAATGTATATTGTCTAGGGTGATAGGGCATTAAGAATGAAATATGTTACAGCACTTTGTTTTAACTAAAACAAAATATTAAAATATTTAAAGAGTTCTTACCTCCTCCAATCCAGTTGAGATCTGTCCCATCCCTTGGGTCCATCAAAAGTGTGGAGAGAGTGGGCCTTATACACAGCAACATCTGGCTCTTCTCAACTTAGGGCCCAGTTTTTTACTTGAATTTCTAATGTGCAATCATCTGATTGTCTATAAACTATAAAAGTTTATGAGCCATAATTATCAATTTGCAGCTCAATTAGTAGTTGATGTCAAATTATTTGAGTTAAGCTTTACCTTCTTCTACAGAATATAACAAGAAATTTCCATTAAATGATTTTTCTACGTCTCTTGAGCAAAACAAACTTGCTACTTGAAAACACTAATATAGGCTAGATTTATTCTTATCAACAGCACGTGTAAGAACGGACAACTCAAGTGTGAAGATAAAAGCTGTGAGGAAATTATTTGCCCCAAAGAGCAGATAGTCATCAAGGGTGGTGGTAACAGAGTTCCTGGAGAGTGCTTGGCCTTTCAATGTCCGGACAAATTTTCTAATGCTCAGACTTGTGTAGACACTTCCCTTCACAGAAGGAAGTGTGTATGCCGTGAAGGATTTATTGAAACAATTGTAACCATCTTCTCATATTTATCATTTTAAAAATTTATTTCTAATTTTTAAACAATATACTGTTATTGTTTTTTTTAAAAGATTGTATACAAGCTTGAGATAAAAAATTTAAAACATATTATATAAATAAACAATTTATTATGTAATGTTTTAGACAGGAGTCTGTGTCCCTGTAGGCACCTGCCCGTGTTTCTACAAAGACAAATGGCACATACATGGCACTCAAATCACAGATAAATGCTACCTCAAGTAAGAATTTTTTGCATGGTTGAAAATTTCATGCTGATGTTTTAGAATAAGTTTAAAGTTCATTTAGCCATGTTCAGCCTTCATAATATTAATCTTTATTTAGATATGTAAATATTGATTAGTAAATAATGTATTTCATAAAATGTTATTGGCTTTAGATGCATTTGATTATAGAATAATATAGCATTTTTGTTACCCTTGAAACTAGCTGAAATTGCAAAATCTTTTGCTTCAAAATATTAATTTTTAAAAAACTAGATTAATCTCACCATAGAGTAAACAAAGAACTAATGCAAATTAATTCAACTATTTTAAATTGTTTAAACTACTGTTGATTCACTTTGTGATTTATTTTCTAAATATCAGGAAATGTGAAAATGGAATCTGGAAAACATTGAAAAAAGTTAATTGTCAGGGTAAGAAATTGTGTAGATGACCATAAACTAAATTATTTTAAACGGTTAAAAAATCAATGTACGAATTTAATTTAAAAAACGAGTATCATTAATTAAGAACAGCTGAAGTGGATTGTTGCAAACAAAAAGTATCTAGCTTTTTAAACAACCTGATACACATGTAGGTACATTTATAAACAATAATCTGTAGCATAATTCATAGTAAAACATTTTTGTCCTATTAATTATTAATCATTTATTTGCAGATAACTTAACTTAAAATTTGTAGCTAAATTATTAGAAAGTGTAACAAACTCCAGTTTTAAAAAAAAAAATTTCTACCCCAATAGCATCTTGTTATATTGCTGGAAGTGAAATGAGGATTGTCACCTTTGATGGATCAGCTTATAATTTTCCTGGCTTTTGTACCTACACATTGGTCAAAACTCGTGGTGAAGCAGCAGGGTTTAAGGTTAGATGATTTAAACTTTCATTATTTCTTATTTTTAGGAGAGTTCAACTATTTAATTGACTTTTGCATTTGAAGCAATTCTGTTGTCAATACTACACCCAGTTAAGTATATGTTCACTAGCTTCTGTCAGGTATTCATTTAAGCTAGCTCAGCTCAGAGAAGGCCGATTAACTCAAGGCCTTGAAACAATTCATGACTCTTGGCTTCACAAATATCTATATATATAATTCTCCTCTGGGAGCCGTTAGAAAACAAGCTGCAAGCGCCTCCTTGCAGTCCCCTCTCTTTCTCTCTATCAATATCACTACCACCCCCACCCCACCCCCACATTGTCTGGTGAGCTGTGGTCACGCTGTTTACATTTTACAATCATAGAGACGGGTTTGGTGACGGCTATTAGGGGCGGATAATTTAGTTTGAAACGATTTTAAACTTAGAGGAAGTAACTAAGAGGAGGCTGCTTTCACGTGGGGGGGGGGGGGGAGGAGGGGGGTTTAGTGTTTTTTAAGCAAATATTTTCAGTGGCAGCATTGGTACTGTCGAATTCACAAATTATAAATTACTGAAAAGTAGAAAAAAAAACAACTAAATAGCGGCATATGATACGCAGCGGGTCAGCTCGTATGATCTATTTTTCAACCACTCCATCCAGTTATTTATCTTAAATATCACAAATATTATAAAGTAAATAGCTGGTTTGGGATTTTCAACCATGTATTTCATTGAAGAAACTATTCCTTGTTTAAAATATTCTTCACCTCAAGTTTAAATCAATATTAGATTTGGCATTGTAATAACACTCTTTGTCATTATTGCTATTATAGATTTCATCCAAAAACATAGCCTGTGTTGGATCAGGAGATGCCTGTTCACATAAAATAGACATAGAATACCTGGGGATTCATGTTCAACTTGTTAAAGGAGTGGGTATTGTTGTTGGGAACAACACATATGAATTCAACCAGCCTATCTCTCTTGGAGCAATTCAAATTTTCTCCACCACACTTTACACTGCAGTCAGTTTTGAAGATGTGGCAGTTTTCTGGTCAGGAGGTATAAAAAATTACTTGATTTCTTTTATATTTTATTTAAAAGTAAATCTTAATTTTATTATTTTATGAAATTTGATTTTTTAAAAATAATTACTAAATCTAAACTTCTTTAACTCTGATATTTATTTGCTTAACCTTTAAATTTAATAATAATAGCTTTTAAATTTCAAAATTTCTAATTCCACTTAAATATGTTCTGCGTTTTATTCATATGTTTTTTTTTATTTTTGTGAATGGAAGATCGTAAACCAAATTATATTTAAATATGGTATGTGTACGAAATAAAACTTTCAAATATTTTAATAACAGTTGTAAAATTCAAAGTTTAAATAAAAATAAATTAAGGTACAGAAACATTTTGTTTTAGCTACTCAAAATCAGCGAATCTTACCAAAAATAGGGATTGTAAAATGCCAGTTTTTGAAATGTCTGATATAAGAATCTCTCTATTGTTACACAAAACTAGTTTTTGTCTATACTTTTAAGACGTTTGTTCTATTTAGGACTTCTTACATGGATCCAGGTCTCCAACAGGTGGGAGGACAAGTTAGAAGGACTGTGTGGCTCATATGACTTTAACTCCAAAAATGACTTCATGTGTTCAGACAATGCAGTGGACAATGCAATTAAATTTGGATTGTCTTGGAAGGAGAATGGGATACCCTGTGACGATGATAATGCCATCGTAACCAATACTTGTCAGGTAGTGTCAAAACAGTGATATCATCTTTTCCTATATTCACCCAAGACATATGGGACATCTAAAGTAGTTCATATGTTTCAATAACCTTTTCATATTGGGGTGGTAAAATTGTTAGCATTATGCCCATCCACATTAATTTCTATAAAGTGATTCAGGTACCCATCTTAGGCTATATGAGTGGACTCATCCTACAGGCTAACACCTGATAAAACAATAAGCTGCTGTTTAAATTATTTTTTAACTCAGTCTTTACAAAAGTGTTTTCTTGTATGTTGTAGAAGTATCCTCAAAGAAGGCTTTGGGCTGAATCCCAATGCAACATTATCAAAACATCAGATCTGTTTCAAAGTTGCAGACAGGTGATGCCCCAGTCCCATATTGACAGATTTGTTATGGACTGTATAACAGAAGCCTGTTTGTAAGTAAATAAAATGTAGGCCTAATTTCTTTACTGAGCATCAGTTAACTTACTTGATAGGAAGTGAACAGTTAGATTTTAACCATTAGATACTTATGAATCAGCTGCAAAACACTTTTGTACACTGTCCTAATGCTTGGCTTAATTTCCAAAAATTTAGCAATAATGAGCAGAGAAAATTATTTAAATCTTATTATAAGTTATTTGAAGTTCATTAAAATTATTCTTTTTTTAATCTGTTGTTTTTTGTAATGTATCTGTTTATATTTTAATTTGCCATATAATTTGAGAATAGAATTTTTTAAATGTAATTTTTTTTCGGATCAGATGTGACAAAACAGGCCATTGTGAGTGTTTCTGCAATAGTGTAGCTCATTTTGAAGCAGCTTGTAATGAACTGGGTCAACCAAGCAAATGGCGCAGTCAGAACTTATGCCGTAGGTTATATATTTGTCTTCATCTTTCAACAGCTAAAGCTATACATAACATTTGCTATTTGAATAATCTTTTTATAAAGTAATTTTTATATCTTTTTATCCTTTAACTAATGCTATAAATAAAATTTGAAATTTGTTTAAACATCGGATTATTTATTTTAATCATAGTTTACATTGCTACAACTTTTCACTTTGCATTTTTATTCAGCTGTACAGTGTGAGAATGGAATGGTATATCAACCAAGTGAAAACCCTTGTCACAAGTCTTGCTTTAATATTGCCAAAAATACTTCTAACTGTAACATTAATATTGGAATTGAGGGATGTTTCTGTCCAGCAGGATATGTTTGGCATAGTGAGTTCAGCATAGATTACACTTTCTATTTTTGGTTCATATATATATATATATATATATATATATATATATATATATATATATATATATATATATATATATATATATATATATATATATATATATATATATATATATATATATATATATATATATATATATATATATATATATGTATATATATATGTATATATATATGTATATATATATGTATATATATATGTATATATATATGTATATATATATGTATATATATATATGTATATATATATGTATATGTATATGTATATATATATATATGTATATATATATGTATATGTATATATATATATATATATATATATGTATATATATATGTATATATATATATGTATATATATATATGTATATATATATATGTATATATATATATGTATATATATATATATATATGTATATATATATATGTATATATATATATATATATATATATATATATATATGTATATATATATATATATATATGTATATATATATATATATATATGTATATATATATATATATATATATATATATATATGTATATATATATATATATATATATATATATATATATATATATATATATATAAATTCAAAAGTATAATATGTAGTTGTACTTCAGTTTAATTATAAGTAATCTTTTATAAGCAATGTTTAGCCTATACATGTCTTTTATAATTTGGTTTCCTACTTTCTGCGCCTCTCTGTTTTCAACTCACTCTCTCACTTTCTGTATCAGTCTTGACTCGACTTGCTGGTTTCCTTTGCCAATTTAGATTCCAATTGTATACCTCAGAGTAGCTGCCCTTGCTATGATGATGGGTTTGAGTATGAGCCAGGAACAATTGTTCTCAAGGACTGCATGAACTGGTAATTTCATTAGAATTTATTCAATAGATTAAATATTTATTTTTACCCTTGATATTCTTACTGTAAATAAGGTAATGATAGGTTTAAAATTGAACATGTTTCTTTAAAATATGAATGTTTAAGAGATGGTAGCTGATTTATATGATTAGTATTGTTGTTTATTTTTATACTAAGTAGCCTGCAAAATCAGTTTACTTTTGTAAAATCAAAGTATTTCAATTTGAATAAGACTAGTACATTTTCTTAATAATTAAATGCAGATGTGTAGCCTACTTAAATGTTTTAATATATATTTATAAATATGTTAATATATATTTTAATACATATTTTAATATATATTAATACATATTTTAATATATATTTTAATATATATTTTAATAAATATTTTAATATATATTTTAATACATAAAATATTAATGTAATGTCATATGGTTAGCACATGTATTGGAGGGGTACTTGAATGTCAAGGGGAAAACTGCTCATCTTGTGCTGAGGATGAGTTTGAGTGCCTGGTGGGTGGCAGGTGTGTCCCCCAGGACAGTGTCTGCAACAATTTCTATGACTGTCATGACGGATCTGATGAGGCAGCCTCTATGTGTGGTACGATTAAAGGACTAATTTATTACCATTTTTACATGTGATAAATCTGTTTTGTTTCTGTGGAATTCTTTATGTGGTTTTTATTTCCTTGCTATTTTATACGAGATATATTTATAATCTAATGATATTTTTAACATGATTAAACTACGTTTTTATATAATCGTTATTTGGGTAAGATTTTGTTCTTATTTCCATTATTCTAAATTTATAAAAAGGGCCTAGGTAGTCAAAATTATTTTTAAAAACTACTTTTGAGTCAAAAAATAAACTACAACAACTTGTTTTCTGTAAATTATAGATCATATGAACTGTACTGAAAACCAATTCAAGTGCAAAGAGAGTGGAGAGTGTGTCCTGAAATCACATGTGTGTGATGGTATTGGTCATTGTGCTGATTACAGTGATGAGATGCAGCAGTGTACAGGTAAAAAAAAATCTTCCTATTTTAAAGTTAGTTATAGGACATTGTGGGCCAAAACTTCCTTTTATGTATTCAATTTAAAATTATGTTTTACTGGTATTTTTAAAAAATGGTTAAACTTTATAGCAGCTGATTCTTTTAAAAATTGTAGTTTCAGGGTATTAATTTACTTATTTGGATCAACAAAGATAATTTCTTTTATTAATAAAAGTTTTATCTTCAAAGAAAAAGAGATTTTTCTATTTCTTAAATTTAATTAGAATTACAAAATGTTTTTTTTAAATTGAATGTTTACTGACAACTGTTTTTTTTCCAAATTTTAGCACATTGTGAGTTTATGTGTGAGGGAAAGGTTTGTATTCTTGACGAATATATTTGTGATGGATACATTGACTGCCCGCAAGGTGATGATGAAAAAAGCTGTGAGTCAAGTAAGTGTACATGTTATATAACAAACAGTGCAGATCTAGTATATAATTGGAATATGGATTTCTCTTATTGCTATAATCAGAAGGCAGATCGCTTATATTCTTATTATAGATTGATTTATTCTTATAACTGGAAGACAGATTTCTCTTTTTGTTATAATTTGATAAAATTGCTATTATTTTTTTTATTGGATGGCAGATTACTCTTTTTCTTCTTATGTCAACTAAAGTAGTTACTCCAATGACTTTAAAACAATTTTGGATAAATGAAATTTCCAGTTTTTTGTCCATTCAGAAGTCTGTGAGAAGGGATACACCAGATGCAGAAACACCAGCGCCTGCATCTTGGACAAGCTTCTCTGTGATGGGCATGATGACTGTGGTGATGGTCAGGATGAAACAGGATGCTGTAAGTTTTTACACCTTCAGAATTGTGTATTATCTTTATTTCAATAACTAAATTATTGGTTGATCATAAAGTATTATACATAATCGAATAGATATAAAAATAAATTTGATAAAGTGATTTAATTTTTTTTATCAGTTTGTTACATTAATTATATAAATAATATTACATTTATTAAGAAAAATTAAAATATAATTCATAATGAAACTTTGAAATAAATAAAAATATAATTTGCAATAAACATTTTATATGACTCTTGAAATCAATTATTAGTTGTTAAAAATAGAATGTGTTAAGGAATCATAAATGTTTTAAAAACTTTATTTCAGCAACTTCAGTTCCTTCAATACCTCCTAGAATAGATACAAAAAATATCAACCCAGATGATAGAGGGAATATTACTACAACGTTACCTTTAATTATTACAATACCAAACCCAAAACCTATGACAACAACTACACCAACAGTGAAAGCCTCCACACAAACTTCACCTACCACACCAAACAGTGACAGGAACAGTTCACAAGACACTTCACTTCATATAACCACTAAATTATCCAACAGCACAATCACAAATACAGTAATTCCTAGCCTGCAAACCTCTACACCTCATATATATAACAATACTACAGCCACTTTTGATAATGATACAAGCACAGAAGCAGACATATCCTCAAACCGATTATTAAAAAAGACTGCTAAGACATCTTTGCATACATTAGTTTACACAACTCCTTTGCAATCTTCTAAACCAACAGCACTTGCATATATCAGTAATTTAACAACAAAAAGATCTATAATTAAAACAAATTATACAGATGTTACACAACACACTTACATAATGAATCAGACAGAGCCAACAGTAATAGCAGATATCAATAAATCAACCTCAACAATTCAAAATGAAACAAATTATACAGATACTACAGAAAGCAGCATCAAAATAAATCAGACTAGGCCAACAGCAACAAAGGTGTCAACTGCTCTTCCTAAAGCTACTTTATCAGAAGTTCAAGAAACAACTACAATACCAAATACAACTGTGAATGTAGACAATATAAGTATTTCAACAGCAAATACAAATACAGTCTCATTTGAAGAATCCACAACTCCGAATGAAAGTTCTAGTTCCAGTAATCTAGACTTTACAACTCAATCAGAAATTCAAGAAAAAACACTACCAAGCACAATACAGGAAGATTCTAGCATGTTTACTGAAAACATTGAACTGTCATCAATAAACCTAAATACATTAGCAAATGAAAAACTTACGACACCTCAAGAAAATTCAAAAACTATTTTATCAGATTTTAGTACACCATCTGAAGAACTTCAAAAACCAACTGTAATGTCAGCTACAACTTTTGATGTGGCTGGAATGTTCACAGACAATGCTGAAATTATTACAGTCAGCCCCACCACCATACCATTTCAAGAATCTACAATTCCAGAAAATATTTTCAAAACCAATACATTAGAGTTTGCAACTCCACTGATTGGTCAAGTAACAACTAAGACAAAAGATTATTCTATTTTATTTACAAACAATCCTGACATGTCCACAACAAATCGATTTACTGTACCATATGAAGAATCTACCAATTTTCCAGACATTTCTAGAACTATTTTACCAGACTATACCACTCCCATGCCTAAAACATTACATGATTTCTCTAGTGTATTTACTGACAGCTCTGAAGTTTCTACAGTTCATCCTAGTGAGTTGTTAGAAGGATCTACAGTCCCACATGAGATCTCTGGAACCAATATGCCAGATTTTACAACTCCTGTAGAAGCTCAAAACACATTAACAATGCCAAGTACTAGTTTTGATGCGTCAAGTATAAATACATACAATCCAGAAATTTCAACAGTTAACACAAATACCATGGCATTTGACAAATCTACAATTCCTCAAGAAGGTTTTAAAACTAGTATACCAGACTTGACTTATCTACCTGATGTTCAAACAACTAAACAAGAATCTACAGTTACAGACCATTCTGATTTTACAACAGTCAATCTTACTACTATACTTCAGTCACATGAAGACACTAATATTCCATTAGAAGTTGAAAAAACAACTGCAATGCCAAGTACAAATGTAGATGTAACTGATCTATTTACTGGGAGTCCTGATATTATAAACAGCCCAAGAACTATATCCCTACTGTTGGAAGAATCGACCATTCCTCAAGAAACATCAATAACCAATAGGCCAGGTATCACAACCCCACCAAGAGTACAGGAAACAACTGCATTGCCCAGTATGATACAAGAGGATTATACAGACATCCCAGATATTGCTTCAGTTAACCCAAGTGTTTTATCTTTAGAAGAATCTACAATTCAACAAAAAATGTCTAGATCTATAACCAATGTGCCAGATCTTACTACACCTTTTGTTGATGAAAAGTCAACTGGTCTGCCAAGTACAACTAATGATGGATCACATGTGGTTACTGAAATTCCTGAAATTCTTACAGTTAATACAAATGCAATATATTTTAAAGAATCAACTATTCCAAATAAAATTTCTGAAACAACGGATGTTACTTCTTCAATAGACTTTCAAAAAACAACATTGCCAAGTTTAGGAGTAACTGATACAGCTACAGAAAATGGTGAAATTACAACACTAAGCCCAACCACAGTATCATCAGGCAAACCAACTATTTCTACAGAATTTACACTTACAGACATCCGAGATATTTCAACAGTTTATCCCAGTACATTAAAATTTAAAGAATCTACAGTCCCACAAGAAATATCTGAAATAAGTACACCAGATTTTACTACCCCATCATCAGATATTCTAAAATCAACTTCAATACCAAGTACAACTGATGTTTTCACAGACAATGTTGACATTACCACAGTTAGTCCAAGTATTCAGGAAAGTTTCAGAACTTTAGGTCCTGACTTTACCTTACCATCAGAAGGTCAAGAAACAACAGCAATGTCAATTACTAATTCAGATTCTTCTAGTTTGGCTACACAATACACAGATATTTCAACTGATAAACCATATACAGTAAGCTTTGACAAGTCTACACTCCCTAAAGAAAGCTTCACAACTTTAGTGCCAGAATATACTACTCATTCAAAAGTGGTTGCAACAGCTACAGTGCCAACTACAATGCTGGATGTTTCTAGAATATTTACAGACAAATTTGATGCTACAACAGCTAGCACAAGTGCTGTGCCATTTGAAGAATCTACCATTATCAGAACTCACATACCATACCATAGCAGTCCATCAGAAATGGAAACAACAACTGTAATATCCAGTACAATTCAAGATACATCGAGTATATTTACAGGCCAAACAGAAATTCCAACAGATATTTTAAATACAGGCCAACCAGAAATTCCAACAGTTATTTCAAATACAGGCCAACCAGAAATCTCAACAGTTATTCCAAATACAGGCCAACCTGAAATTTCAACAGTTATTCCAAATACAGGCCAACCAGAAATTTCAACAGTTATTTCAAATACAGGCCAACCAGAAATCTCAACAGTTATTTCAAATACAGGCCAACATGAAATCTCAACAGTTATTTCAAATACATTAGAAGGATCTACATTTCCACAAGAAATTTACAAAACTAAAAATCCAAGGCTTTCAACTCAATTTGAACAATTAAAATCAACATCTTTGGATGATTTCAAAGACAATCCAGATATTTCAACTGTTAATTTAAATACAATACCATTTGAAAAATCTACAATTCAATCTGACATTTCTACCACTAGTTCACAAAATATCATTACTCTGTCAGATGATCAAGAAACAACTGCTGTGAAAAGCCAAAAAAATGTTGCCTCTAGTAAATTTACAAATTACCTAGATATTTCAACACTGAATCCACAAGAAATTTTCCAAACTAATTTGCCAGATTTTACCACTCAAAATACATTTACAGTGTCAAGTACAAATGATGATGAGTCAAGTATGATTACAGATATCCCATATATTTCAACTGTTAATCCAAACACACTACCAATTAAAGAATTAACAGTTCTACCAGAAAGTTCTGTAACTACCTTGACTGACACTAGTACATCATCAGTAGATGCACCATCAAGGCAGAGTACATATCATGCACATTTCACTGAATCATCTAATGACTATTCTGATATTTCAACAGTTAATCCTAATACACCACCATTTTCACAAACAATGGCTGAAACTAGCGTACCAGATATTAATACTCCAGCACCATCTGAAGAAACCACTTTAATGCCAAGTACTAGTTTTGATGTAACACAAAGATTTACAGACCATTCCTATATTACAAAAGTTAACCCATTTGGAGAATCTTCCTATCCTGAAGAAATTTCTAGAACTAATATACCAGATTCAACATATACATTCACAAACACAATACATGACGTTTCTAATAGATTTACAGACTACCCTAAATCTACAGCTAATTCAAGGAAATCATCATCAGAAGAAACCACTTTACACCAAGACATTCCCAGCACTAGTATCCCAGATTTTACAACACCAATAAAAGTAGAAGAAACCACTTTTCAACCAGATATTCCCAGCACTAACATCCCAGATTTTACAACTCCAATAAAAGTAGAAGGAACCACTTTTCAACACAATATTCCCAGCACTAACATCCCAGATTTTACAACACCAATAAAAGTAGAAGGAACCACTTTTCAACACAATATTCCCATCACTAACATCCCAGATGTTACAACACCAATAAAAGTAAAAGAAACCACTTTTCAACACAATATTCCCAGCACTAACATCCCAGATTTTACAACACCAATAAAAGTAAAAGAAACCACTTTTCAACACAATATTCCCAGCACTAACATCCCAGATTTTACAACACCAATAAAAGTAAAAGAAACCACTTTTCAACACAATATTCCCAGCACTAACATCCCAGATTTTACAACACCGATAAAAGTAGAAGAAACCACTTTTCAACCAGATATTCCCAGCACTAACATACCAGATTTTGCTACTCAAATAAAAGTAGAAGAAACCACTTTACACCAAGACATTCCCAGCACTAGTATCCCAGATTTTGCTACTCCAATAAAAGTAGAAGAAACCACTTTTCAACACAATATTCCCAGCACTAACATCCCAGATTTTGCTACTCCAATAAAAGTAAAAGAAACCACTTTTCAACACAATATTCCCAGCACTAACATCCCAGATTTTACAACTCCAATAAAAGTAGAAGAAACCACTTTTCAACAAGACATTCCTAGAACTAAAATCCCAAATTTTGCTACACCCATAGAAGATCACGAAACATCACCAGTGATAAGTATAACTTCTGATGGATCAAGTCTGATTACAGGAAAACCTGAAGTGTCAACACCTATTTTAAATACAGTAAGATTTGAGGAATCTACATTTCAAGAAATTTCAAAAACTAAAATTCCAGACATTACTACTCCATTAAAGCTTGAAGAAACATCTGTAATGCCAAGTACAAATGTTGATGCAAGTAGAAAATTTACAGACACTGGAAATATGAAAACTCAAATCCCAAGTGCTGTACCACTTGAAGAATCTACTATTGCTCTAGACATTTCTAGCACTAGTATACCAGACTTAACTATTCCATTGAAAACTCAAGAAACATCTACAATATACAGTACAGCACAGGATAGAACAAATACAATTGATCTTTCTAAACAAGCAGAAATTCAAGAAACATCTACAATGTACAGTAGAACACAGGATAGAACTAACACAATTGATCTTCCTACACAATCAGAAATTCAAGAAACATCTACAATGTACAGTAGAACACAGGATAGAACTAACACAATTGATCTTCCTACACAATCAGAAATTCAAGAAACATCTACAATGTACAGTAGAACACAGGATAGAACTAACACAATTGATCAGTCTACACAATCAGAAACTCAAGAAACAACTATGCTACCAAGTACAAATGTTTATGCAAAAATTCCTTTCACATACAATACCGAGATTGATGCAGCCAGTTCAAACACTCTACCTTTTGTAGATTCTACTGTTTATCCTCGAAGTTCAAGATCCCCCAATATTCCTGAGCTCACTACTTCATCAAATGTTGAAGAAACAACCACAAATCCTACTACAATGCTGGATGTTTCTAGAATATTCACTGACAATACTGATGCTACAACAGTTAGCACAAGTACTTCATTTGAAGAATCCACCATTCCTCTAGAAACCCCTAGAACTAAGCTTTCAGTTTTTACTACACTGTCGGATGAATCAACAGCAACCTCAAGTACAAAATTTGATTCCACTTTACTTACTGATAATGCTGATATCACAACAACTAATATAAATAATGTACCATTGGAACAATCTACCATTACACAAGAAATTTTTAGCAAAGACTTATCAGTCCAAAGTACTCCATTTCAAGAACCAACTGGAATGTCAGACAAAATAACAGATGCTTCTAGTATGTTTACAAATACCCCAGATTCTAGTCGAGAGAATTTTAATACTTTTCAATTTAAAGAATCAACACGCCCACAAGAAACTTACAAGACCATCATTCCAGGTGTTACTTCACATTCAACATTCGGTGCTTCTGGTGTTTCTGATGACACTACAGATTTTTCAACAATTAATCCAAACACAATTTTATTTGAAAAGTCTACTATTCCTCAAGAAGGTTCCACAACTCCAGGTTCTGCAATTCTATCAGGAGATCAAGCAACAGCTACTCCAATTACAACTTTTGATGCTTCGAGTATGACTACTTATAAGTCTGATAGCTTAAACATTAAAGCAAATACAGTGACACTTCCTGTGGAAAATTTCATAACTTATAACAATCTATACATTACTACTGCACCAAAGGTTCAAGAAACTGATTCAATGCACCATACATTACCGAGTGCATCTAGTAGTGAAACAGGCAATGCTGATCTTTTAACAACTATACCAAGCAGATCATTAACATTCACAGAATCAACAATTCCTCTAGCGGAAATGTTAGACAAAACTACTCCATCAGATGTTGAAGAAATAACTCAAATGCCCATCACAATACAGGATGTTTCAACAACTATTCCAGCCTCAACAGCAGCTAGAGAAACATCTACCATTCTGCAAGAGATCTCTGGAAGCAATACTCCAGACATCTCTACTCCAGTAGAATTACTAGAATCAACTGTGATGCCTACTACAGTGTTGGATGTATCTAGTACTGTAGCAGATCAAGCTGGTGGTTCAAAAACTAGTCCTAGCATTACCATACAAGAACAAGACAATACAACTATACCATGGGAACCTTCTTCCAGCATCACCATACAAGAACAAGGCAATACAACTATACCATGGGAACATTCATCCACTGGAATTCCAGAAATTTCAACACCCTACTCTAGTACACCAGCAGAGTCTACTAACAAAGTTCTTGAAAAATCAACCACACCAGTTTCTTTATCAACTCAAAATGTGTCTATTTCCAACTCAACAACTCAAACCTCTACATCACAACCAGAGTTTTTGTCTACTACCACCACATCTTTTCTTACAGAGCAGTCTTCAACTACACCTCCAGCACCAACACAACCACATTTAGTTGTACCACGGGTACCTGAGACTACAATCACATCTACTTCACACCCACCCAACTCAACTCTGACACTACCATATTCTACTACAATCACATCTACTTCACACCTACCTAACTCAACTCTGACACTACCATATTCTACTACAATCACATCTACTTCACACCTACCCAACTCAACTCTGACACTACCATATTCTACTCTTCAATCCTCAACTCCCTTTAACAACATCACTATAGTGGGTTTCCTCTCATTAACTACATCTGTTCCAAACATTATTTACCCAAACACTACAAAATCTAACTTAACTCTTTCCACCATCTCAACACATTCACCAGCTTTAGTCACTTTTTCTTTAAGTAAAAATAAAACAAATTTAAAACCAAACAATATTTCAGTGCCACCTTTAGAAATTTTAAATCCTTTATATAATGAAACAAATAATCCAACCACATTCAACAACACTTCACTGTACATAAATTTTCAGACATTTCTAAAGATTTTCCAGAAATATTTTGATTTAAGAAATAGTTCTGATGTTGGTAAGTCTACATTAACATATATGGTTGTTGTATGTTTTCAGTACAATGTCATGACCATGTTGTTAGAATTTGTTTCTTTTTAACGCGCATATTAAGCTATTAATATACCTTTAGGATAAACAACACATTTAGTTTAGGGGCACCTAAAGTTAGGCTTAGCTGTTTCATACAAGTTTGATGAACACTAGTGTCAATACCAGTGTTAGTTCCCCTCTCTTCTCCTATGATGATTTAAATACCAGTGTTAGTTCCCCTCTCTTCTCCTATGATGATTGAAGCTGGGTGTGCTCTGCTTAAAAACTATTTGTGTATTCAAACAAATATAAGTTTGTCAATTCATATTGCCTGGTTGGAACTTTCAAGTCAATAGTTTAAGAGATATTGATGTAGTTTAATATATTACATTTAAATTGGGCTTACATTTTTAAAATTCTTTCTTTATTCCCAGCCCACAGTTTCTTTTTAAATTATTTCTATACTTGAAGCTTTTCCTGTAGAGATTTATTACTTTATTCTTTCTAATGTTATTTAGTATTTCAAAGTGTCAATATGGTATTTTGACCATTTAATATTATCAAAATGTAAAACAGTAGGCCTATTTAAAAGTTTCTAAATAGCTATAAATACTAACTAAAGATTGCTTTGAATTCATTTTGACTTTAGCCATTTTTATAACAAACAGGACCTACATCTTCATTTAAATACATTGAAATAATTAACAATTTTAATTAAACAAATATGTTTATTGAAATATGAAATAATAATAAGAATAAATGATGATTATTGTGTAACATTTTATTCAAGGAATTAAACAAATATATTTATTGAAATATGAAATAATAAGAATAAATGATAATTATTGTGTAACATTTTATTCAAGGAATTTGCCTCAGTCCATGGAGTGCTTGGACATCATGCCATAATCCCTGTACGGGAGTTAAAATTCGCGTCCGCCAGTGCTCCATGAAAGACAACTGTCAGTGTGACAAAGAAACACTGTGTCAAGCAGATCTCTGTGAATGCCTGAAAGTTAGCCCGTCAACTCCATCAAAAAACACAAGTCTCAGCCCAAAGCCAACTTTTTCCAGCATAGTAGCCATTGGCACGCCCACACAGATGACCAATATCAGTGAACATTGTATGTGTGTTTTTTTTAAGTTTACTTCTTTAATTAAATGTACGCATTATATGCTAGGAAAGGTCCATAACCATTGGAGAATAGCTTTTCTTTACAGCATGGAATTTAAGTAAAAAACTATTATTCTATAGTATTTTACTCCATAAATTATAATATAGCAAAATAACTACAATATAAAATAGGCTAATGATTTTACATGCTGCTATGATTTTTTAGCTCTAAGGAAAATTTTAATATATCCCACTAATTCTTTAGAAGTAAATCTTAAATAAACTTTAACTGAATGACTTGATCTAATTGAACCATTATATATAAAAATAGGTCAATGTTCTTCACCTAAACTGTGCACACACTGTAGAGAGCAGTGTAAGAAAAGTTGTAGAGCATTTCGCTATGGGGCTGTCTGTCATGAGGAGGAATGTCTTCCAGGTTAGTTTATAAACACAGCTAGTTCATACAGTGGTTGGATCTAAAATAACTTGTTAGCTGCATGGTTCAATCTCAATAATACTGAGTTCTTAAGTGTACATTAAATAGTTTGATACCTATTATGGTGGAAGTGCTAAATTGTATATGCCTTCACTACACCAAATTAACCCTAACCCCAACTCCAGCACTTATTATGACCTTAGCCCTAGCCTTAATCCTAATCTGATTCTAACAGTACTACCATTTTTTAAACTGAATACAGTAGACTTACTCAATTGCTCTTCCAGTATTTTTATACAAAATACAACTGGAGAACTTATATTTCTGTAATTAATGTGATTAATTATCTGGCTTATTTATATTTTTGTATCATTAAATGTAAAACTTTTTCTTTCAATATTAGTTTATGTTGATTTTTCATTTTTTTGTGCATAAAATTTATTACGTAAAGGATGTGAATGCCCCAAAGGCCAGTTAATGGATGATGATGGCTTCTGTAGCCCACCAGATAGCTGCCCCTGCTATGACAGCACTGGAAAACAAAGACCATTTAATTCTTCTTTTACTGATGAAAAAACTTGTCAAACTTGGTGACTATATTCTTTTAAAAGATATTTATTTCATTTTTCCGTCCTTAATAAAATAAAATGATATTCTCTATTGAAAAAAAATAGTGTAGTATTTTTATTCTTTATCCTCCGTACAAGAATTTATTGTAAACAAAGGAAATTTGTTTTATTAATTCAGTATAACCTAAAAGAAAAAGAAAAAAAGTTATTATAATTTCATCTGTTTAAATCTGTTTTTTATCTAACTTTCTATTCGTTTCATATAAAGCAAGTGTGGGAAACAAGGAGTAGTTTGTATAGATCCAGCAAAAGGTAAAATTGTAAACTATATAGTAAGGGGTCATCCATAAATGACGTCACACTTTTTTTGACGATTTTTACCTCCCCCCTCCCCTCCGTCACACGTCGTCACAAAAAGCCAGACCCCCCCTAAAATGACGTCACACCTCAACCTACAACCCCCCTCAAAATTGCAGTTGAATTTTTTTTAAATATCGATATTTTTCCAAAATCTTGTCTAAACTATTACAATATATTAAAACAGTTATCTAAAACGCGAAATAACCTCTAAAATTCGTTTCTAAGATTGCTTTTTTATAATGCAAAAATGTGACGTCGCAACATCTGAACCCCCCCCCCCCCTCATCACACATCGTCACAAAATTACGGACCCCCTCTACCCTATGAGTGTGACGTCATTTATGGATGACCACTAAGACTAATTTACTTATGTTTCCCAAGTCACTGAATTTATTATAATCCAAGTTGTTTGTATTTTATCAGAGATGGAGATCTTTTACACAATGGGAGATTGGACAGAATGGTCAGATTGTTCAGCTAATTGTAATAAAGGCACTATGTCCAGATACCGGTATGTCTTAGCCACTGCCAGATTTTTTCATTGAATCTCTAACTTATCCACATTAATTGAATAGTCCTTATACAAGAGGTAAATCATAGCCCCAGACACAAAATGATAAAGTAGCATTGTTTTAAAAGTTATTCTATTGTTACAATTGTAATGTAGTGTGGGCAAGTATCAGAGCTGCAGTACTACTTTCTCTGAGACTAAAGAATGTGTCAGTACAGAATGCAACTGTTTCACTGAAGATGGAGTGATCATCAAAGAGGGGGAAATGTATCAACCAGATGATTGTCAGATTTGGTAGGTATATTGATTCATATAGGTTGAAAAACAGGAAGTCATCATAAAAACTACCAGCATTTATCAAATTATTTAAACTGCAAAAATAAAAAATTTAATTACTTAGGATAGAAAAAATGAAAACATTTAAGCTTTTAAGCTATTTAAACATTAGATATGTACAACTTTATCCAAATTTAATTTTGTACAAAAAAAAAGAAAGTGGGTTAGTGAGCTTAGATATTTAAAAATAATATTTGATAAAAAACAAACATCTTCATTATAATTTACAAATAGTGTTTTATTGCAAAAATTTGCTGAAGAAAGTATATATCTATGGTATTGTAGACAAAATATTACACTATTTGGACTCAGTGCAAGCTGAGCCATTATTTGTGATTTATACATTTTTCCACAATCCAACAGTTCATGTAGCAATGGGACTTTGACCTGCTCCATTAACCCAAAAAAAGTAGGTAAGCCAGTTCTAGAAATCAATATTACATGAAAGAATTCTTAATTATTTATATTATGCATTATATGAATAATAATTTTTAAAATATGTAATCAATATTAATCTAATAGTCTTACTTGTTCACTATAATACTAATAGTTCTATGATATGGCTACTGAATAACTTTTAAAATATTATAAAAGTTTTCATAACTTTTACATAGTTGAATGTCAAAAAAATATATCCATAAATTAAATATATCTATCAATGTATGGAGTGTTAAGGTTTTATAAAAAAAAAATATAATTTAAAAGAGATGTTTTAAAATGCCAGAAAAACGTAGTGATGAAAATAAAATATTTGAAGAAATTATTTTCTTATGATTCCATCTACAATTTTAATTATACACACTGTTTCACACAATTTTACTCATTATTTTTTTATTTTTTTACACTGAAAAAGCTTGTGGGTTACAGGTTTTTTTTTTACATGAAATTTATTATTTCTCAATTTCAATTGTTAAAATATCTTAAAGATGTATGTAAATGTAATGAGCATGGTGTTTTGATACCACTGCCTTTTTTCCCTGTAGTTAATGGGTCTTGGCTAGACTGGGGCCCATGGAGTTCTTGTGCAGCAGACTGTAGCCTACACTACCAGAGCAGATGTATGAGGTGCCAACCACCAAAATGTGGTGGTGAACCATGTGATGGTTCAGTGTGTCAAACCAGACCTTGTACTTCTAGTCCTTGTATGTATGCCTCAATGTTTTACATGCACATAGTTTTCTAATGTGCTTGTTTGTTATGTTGTTATTTCCTTTAGCCATTGAAAACTATGCTACTAATTGTAAAAGTGTTAGGTATATCAGTTTAAAATATCAAACCCTGGAGGAGTGAATGAAATATCCAGATGTGATAACTATATCCATTAATAAATTTAACTGATATTTCCAATACTAATTTGAAACATATTTAATCACACACTTCATAACCAAGTTTCCAAAACTAAGTTTCCAAAGATGAGTTTTGATAGCTATATTTTCCATAGCCAATTTCCAAAACTAAGTTTCCAAAGTTGAGTTTTGATAGCTCATTTTTCCATCGCTAATTTTTCATAGCTAATTTTTCCATAGCTAATTTTTCCATTGCCAAGTTTTCATTGCCAAAATTCCCCTAGTCAGGTTACCTAACTAAGTTTACTTAGCTAATAACATTTAATGTTTTCTATAGGCTGTGATGTTTTCACATGGAGTGAGTGGAGTGACTGTAGCCAAACCTGTGGTACCACCGCTGGTTATCGTATTCGGCATCAAATTTTTCCTGACGACTTCACCAAAAATAATTGTGAAATACACAGTGAGGCTCAGGAATGTGGACACTGTGCATGTAGGGACATTAAATGATTTTAATTTTTTATAGATTGTTTTTTTTTTTAAGTTTGATAATATTTCTATCAAAACCATTTTTTTTTAAATTTATAAAAACAGAGAGAATATTTAAAACTAAATGTATGTTTAATGTAATAAAATGTAACAATAAATATATAACTTTCATCTTAATTTGGATCAAACTTGCAAAGGTGTGAATAGATCCATTGAGCAATGGTCAGAATGGACTTCATGTTTGGCCAGTGGTACAACCTGTGGTTGGGGTAAAAGATCTAGAACCAGAAAATTGGGTGTGGCATGTGATGGGGTTCCTGGTACCCACACTGAGAACTGCTTTCTGGGACCATGTGGTATGTTGTATGTTTTGACAAACAAATTTGATATTGGACATTTTTTTATTTTAATAATGTATTTCACTGGAGTTATCTTTTTATTCAAAAATATTTTTTTTGAAAAAGCCATTTGATATGTTTTAGAATGTCACGGAAACTTGGAATGGTCTAATCATTCCTTGTGTCAAAGGACATGTAAGTCTGAGCCCTCTCCAGAATGTTTTCTTAAACTTTCTGGTGGCTGTGTTTGTCCATCATCACTGGTGTACAATGGCACAGGTTGTGTTCCACTAAATGACTGTAACCTCCAGTGTGAATATGGCAGCAATAGTTACCAGGTTAGTTCATACTAATTCATTAATTTTTTATTACTTTATAAAACCTTGCTCTATATTCAGTGACATAGGCAGGCAGTAAAAGAGGAGTTTAGGACCACAACATGACAACTGTCTCAAATTAAGTTACAGCAATTGCCCACGCCATATATATATATATATATATATATATATATATATATATATATATATATATATATATATATATATATATATATATATATATATATATATATATATATATATATATATATATATATATGTATATGTATATGTGTGTATATGCTATTAAAATGTAAATCTCTAATACCTTTAAACAATCTAAACAATACCAGGTTGGGGATCTCATCCCTTGTGGAGATTGTAATATGTGCCTGTGTGGCAGAGGGCACATTTTCAAAGAAAGGAAGAAGTGCTTAGACATTCAGCAGTGTAACTTTGTATGTACTAGTGTTTTTTTTTTAATTTCTGTTTTAGTATTTTATTTGCCTTCTTATAATCGATTTTTAGCTATATATAAATGGTTGCAAAAGAATTTCATCTTAAACCGAGAAGAAGAAAAAATTTACAATACCAATCATATTATTTCCTTATTTTGAATTTTTTGTAGTAATTAATCACTTATTAAATTAGGAAATGTATTTTTGTAACTTCTTCCTTTTCTAGAGTACTCACCATCTGGTTCCAGCAGAAGATAACTGCTGTCAAGTAGATTGTGTTCCAAAAGATGAGTGCAGGTTACAGAAGACAACACCAGACTTTCTAACCATCAACAACTGCATATCTGTAAAGAAATGGCCTAAAGAATACTGTGCAGGAACCTGTTCTGTGAAGCCTCAGTTCATGAACTATGAAGAAAAGCATTTGGACAAGCAGGAATGTTTATGCTGCTCTGGGCATGTCAAGAGACTCAGAGCAGTGGAGTTCAAGTGTGATAACTCTCTAGTTGTCACTCACAAGTTGCCCTTTATAGAGTCTTGCTCTTGCAAGTCTTGTACTGATGAAAGTAAGTTGTAGTTATTTGATAAAAGGCTATTGGTTACAGTTTTTTAGTAATTAATAAAGGTATGCTGCATATCAATAGAAGAGAATAATTGTATAGTAATTTTACATTACTCTTAAAATTGCTTGTGTGGGAATGGGATGGTCAAATGGTAGAACGCTCGGCTGATAACCTGTGAGTTTGGATCCTGGGCTCAAGTCCATGAGATGTCTTTGAATCCACCCAGCTCTGATGTGTCCCCGACTCACATTAGGGAAAGTAAAGGCAAGTGGGCATAGTGCTGACCACACTATCTCTTCAAATGTGGAGGTCAATGAAACAGGTGAACTCTACTTCACCTGCCCTATGGACCCTAAGGTTTGAAAGTGCACTTTGTTACTAATTACGAGTGACTATCCACTATGATTTTAGTCACAGCACTTACGGTTCCAATATTTGAGGCGAAAACTGAAGAATTTAAAAATTTAGAATCTTTACATCTAGGTTATTGGTTTGCTATCTTTAAAAGTAAATTGAAATACTTTTCAAATTAGGACTTTTATAAAGCTTCCACCACAAATGTAAGCACGTATGAACAATCTAAAAATATTACACAGAACCAATTTAAATTTCATCTCAGAATCAAACTTTGTGCATCTGCCAAGAATGGTCATATTTGTACATTTTCAAACATTATGACATCTCAATAACAACTAAACTTATTTTTATTAAATTTATTTTTGCCTTTGTTGTAACTTCCTTGACAATTTTATCTCTCACAGATACACCCTCCAGTCGGTAAAAGGCAGTCTGATTTACCAAAGTAACAATGTATTTATCAAGATGAATAAATACAATTTTCCTGGCTTCTTTCAAGAAGATGAAAAATACTTTGTCGACTGAAATAATTCTACACACAGAAAATCAAACACTCACTATTATACTGATTGATGCATGTTTATTCTTATTTCGGGGGGGAAAAATCTTTATAACCCACAAAATTATATAATTCATTTGGCTAAATTTCGTGCTATTATAATGCTTTAAATATTATAAAACATGAATATTTCTATAAGATTATGCACAACAGCTCAATTATTTCCTGTCTACAAGCTGGTAAAGGAATGTACTTGAAGTTTATGATTCATTTAAAGCTCAAAACTTAGTTATAGCTAACATAATTACATATACCCCAGCAAGCAATATATTTGTATCATGCAATTTATTTTACTATGTAAGCTTTATAATCAATTGAGTTATCTTATAAAATTATAAGATTACTTTAAAAAAGTAAATAAAAGAAACAAAATATTTTGTAAAAACAATTTTATTTTAAATATAAAAAAAAATGTTATATGGGAAAATATTCTGAATTTCATGGTGCTTTAGTAGGAATTTAGTGCTATTTATTATTTATTAAAATATAACTGTCAAACTATTCAAATCTTCCAAAAAAAGTGGTAAATACAAGCTAGTAGACTGCAAAAAAATGCAAAAAATAGTATTTAATCAGTATAATTGATTTGCTAATATTTTAATTGATTGAGTAATCCAAATACTTGAAACTACCATTATAGTAGAACGTTTTAATAGAAAATAGAATTTACAAGTTAATATTGGTATTTTATAAAATATAGGCAGTTTTAACTAAACAAGAATACAAATGATGGAAATTAACAGAAATTAAACAAGATTTAAAACCAAAAAGAACAATAACATTGAGCTTATTTAGCTGATACAGTCTGATAAGATACATAGCAGTCATCTTAACCAAATTGTACTGAACAAACCTAAAGAGTAATTATATTGATAGTGAAAATAGAAGAAAAAAAAGCATGTGTAAATACAAATGTATAAAAAAATTGAATTATTTGATGGAAAATATTAGTATTGCATCAATTGACATTAAAGTATATATAGGTTTATAGATATCACAAAATGTATTCCTAACAAAACATTTTAATCAACATTAAGGTTAATAAATCACATGTGTCAGTAGAATTGATGAGTACCCTTGAGAGAAAAAAAAAATCACACTTCCATTGCCATCAAACATGGCTATATTTACAGATTTGTAAGGTAAATCACAAAGTAAAATCACAAATTAAAAAATTGCAATTAGTTAACTGAAACAAACTACAAGCAGTATAAAGTCATGAAAAATAGATAATGTATGCTATCTAAATTACAAAATCAAATACTATTAGCAGTATAACAACAAAATAAAATAATTTATAAAAAAAACTTTAACCTGCATTACAAAAGTACTTAATACCAGTATGAACAAATTTTGGAATGGACCAATTTTCCATTTAAATGAACTTTGATCATTTTCATTAATATGTATTGAAAAAAAATGATTAGAATGGAAATTACAGTAATTATAAAACAATTTTTTAAATTTCTTTTTTTTTTAACACCAAATAAGAAAATATTCACACAACTACAATTATGTAATGGTAGCTGTGTAAACTGCATGTGAAAATGAAATCAAACCAAGTTAATTGAACTTGCTACAAAAATTATGGCTTCCACAAAAGCTGATGGATATTTCCAAGCTGGTCACCTGCCAGCAGCATAAGAGACAAAACTTTGTCTGCTTCCTGCAGGGAGTAACCAATTCTCAAACTACAAACAGGGTATGGACTAAAGAACTGCCCAACCTGAAATTGTAAATAAAGGACACTATTAACATTTCACTTTTCATTAACTTTTTAAATTTTTAAACATTGAAAAAGAAAAATTTAATTGTCTGGCTCTATTGTAATTACCTGAGTGAGCCCATCACTGTAGTTGTTGGTGAAATACCAAATCTTGATTGTACTATCAGCAGATGCAGTGACTAGCACATCCAATAGCACAGCAACTGCTGTTATAGCTTGCATGTGAATCTATTAATTGAATATAATTGATTTCTTTTATAATACATCACTAATTCTACTTTCTTTTTCAAAAAATTGAAATTTATATTAATTAAATCTTAAATTTTAAACAAGGTGCAGAAAAAGCAGTTGTAAATTTGCTATCAGAATAGATATTGAGAGTATTTGCATATCTCAGTTAAAAAATTAATAATTTGAAAATAATTTTTATGAGTTTGTGTCATGATTTAAAAATGCTTACTTTCAATTGAAAGTATGGTATAAAAGTATCGTCTTGGTTTACAATGATGTAGCCAAGTGAAGTTCCTGCAAAAACTTTTCCTTTGGAGGCAGCAATTGAGTGAATCCAATAAAAACCATCCCTCTTAGGGTCATGCTTAAAAAAGGGGTCAGTATCCTGTATTATTGAAAAGAAATAAAAAGCAAATATTTAGAAAGTAAAACATTCTCCATAAAAAATAGTCTACACACTATTTAGTGGGGGGGGGGGGGGGGATTTAATACTCTATTAACATCATTGAGATACTACTTGAGTTGATTAAAAAAATAAAGTAGGATTGATCTACCCTCAACTTCCTCGTACATCAAATAGAATTGCATAAAAAAAAAAAAGAATTGTGTAACAAATGAAAGCAAATTTTAGAGTGGAAATTTATTTTAAAATTTAATCAAACATCAAATTAAGTCATATTTTATGCCACAATGCATTGTCTAAAATCTTGACCAAGTGAAAAGTTAGAAATAAATATGTCGGGTAGAAATTTTGCTTGCATGTTTCTTCCCATGATGGACAGTAGAGGAATCAAGATAAATTCTAATGGATTTTTGAGAAATCTGAAATAGCTACTTCCAGTAACCGGAAATGTAGAAAACTAATAGAATGAAAGATAGGGAGTTGGGGGGGGGGGGGGGGGGCTAAGAAATGAATGTGAGAGGTACTCCATGTGATGTCGATATAAAGGATAGATCATTTAACAGTAGCTAAATAAATATTGATATGGAAATAGGTATTGTGTCAAATGATTATTGACTGAATCTATGTGAATGATCATAGAAATGGTATTCTTCAAATAGAAGATCATGTCAGGACAAGCTCGACCCTTTCACAACAACCCTAACCCAGATAATAAGATCTATGGATGAATTTTCATCTACCAACTTGAAAGGATACTCATGTGATTGGTATTTTAGAAACCATAAAAAGAGTGGGGTCAGCATGGCAGAATCAGTTAAGCTCATGGCTGCTAAACCAAAGTCTAGAGTTCAAACCCTAGAGCAGATGAGGCTCGATAGCTGTGGAAAGCAACTCATCTAGGAGACAACTCCAAAATCAAACAACTGCTGACTTGCAGTTTGTTCTTGATTGGACAAAGGCTATGGAAGCAAATCCAAAAAGAAAAGCAGGCTAAAATCTGAGTCAACAGCCTTTATGGCACATAACCAGTTGACACATAATTACCAAAAATTTGAAAGTAATCAAACTATAAGATCTTATGGTTATGTGAAATTTTGTTTGCTTAAATGAAACCGAACTCAAGTTATCATGTTCCCACAAAAATAGAATTTAAGTACCAGTTCACTAACCGGAAACAAAAATACCATTTCCGGTTACAGGAAATTGCTCAAAAGTTTAAGAAAACTACAAATGAATATGATACCTATATCTTGAGTTTCATCAACCTAACTAAAACTAATCTAGTTTTTGCATTCATAGACACTGACAAAACTGTAAAACTAAGCAAGTTTTTCCAAATCAGGGAGGTGTAAAACGTCAAGATATTTTGCACAAATTTAATACTTCCTCTATATTTCAAACTCAAAAAAGTAAAACGTGAAGTCACAGCTAGCATTGAAGAAAAAATGAATGATTCTTCTAAGATGACAGATGGTAAACTTGTAAACAAAGCACAGCCTCTGACAAAAATTTATTTGTTGTAATTTTATTTGATGGCTAAGCCATGAAGGACAGAAAATTTGAGACCAAACTCGGTCTACAAGCTTAGAAAACATTCACTGGGGTGGTGTGACAAGTAGAAAATTTGAGACATCATTTTTCAAACTTCACACATTTCTGTCATGCGAGTTTAAAGTTGCTTACACAAGGTATAATACTAGGTTCTCTAAGAGTAATTATTACAGACAATACAGTTTACACAGAGTAATTCCATGAATAATAAAGATGTTTCAATAACTTACATATGAATTAATCCAGGTAAGGTAAAATTTACTTACATGTCTCACTTCATCTGTTTCATACATACAACCTGTCGTTGTACCAAAATAATAATTTCTTGAGTCTAAAACGAGACATGTAATCCAAGTTTCAAAGTATTTACGGTCTTTTTGAACCCTATAAATAATGAAATAAACAGAAAATATGTTTTTAAAGTAAAGATGGCAAAGCACATTTATGTTAATCTATTAATGTTAAGAGCAAGATGGGAAAATTCTAATGAGAATCTAATTGATAGAATTTCATATTTACACCTTAATGATCCAGTTAATACAATAAGTAAAGTAATGCCTAGCTTTGATTGAGATTTAGCAAATAGGTTGTGTGATCAGCACAAAACAACTCAACTTCATAAAAGTTTCTTTTTCTCATAACTGGAGTTTAGATATACAATTATCGAGAGCAATATACTCTTATGAGGTTAATATTTATTTATTTATGTTTAAGAAAAGATAGATTAAATATGTTGGATAGAGTTCATTGTAGCACACCACATGTTGTAAGGGGAATATAAAGTTTAATCTTTCCTACTAGCACCTGTTAAACACTGAAGCATAGTGGACAATGGGTTTTACCACAGACACTCCCCTTTAACCACAGATCATTTTTTTTAACTTAATAATTTACTGCATAGATGGAAAAAGCCATTAAATCACCTGTAAAATTTGCCTCCCTCAATTTGATGAAAGTCACCATCCCATGTAGTGTACATAATGTCACCACATTTTTGCATACTTATAAGACATGAAACAGGTGATTGTGTCGCCTTGCTCAGCTGTTTTCTAAAGACAAAATAGAATGCAACGAAAACTTTAGAAACTATGTAAACGAGTTCAACATTTTTTTATATTTCAATAAATGAGCAGTGCAATATTACAGAAATTTGAGGTTGACCAAAGTTAACTAAGGATTGTGTTGTACAAAGTTTTCTTGAAAAAGGTGGTGGAATAATTGTATACTAAACTCAATTTTAAAATGTGCTAATTCTTCCAACCTCTTATCAACTGCACATTCTTCCAACCTCTTATCAACTGCACATTCTTCCAACCTCTTATCAACTGCACATTCTTCCAACCTCTTATCAACTGCACATTCTTCCAACCTCTTATCAACTGCACATTCTTCCAACCTCTTATCAACTGCACATTCTTCCAACCTCTTATCAACTGCACATTCTTCCAACCTCTCATCAAAATTCTGCACATTCTTCCAACCTCTCATCAAAATTCTGCACATTCTAATCTAATAAAAAAATAATCTAGACCTACATTCTTTTCACCTCGCATTGAAATTCTGCACATGATGTGTCACTGGACTATAGTAAATTAGATTAAGGGTGCCTGAGATTGTTTATTGTAACAGATTATAGGTTGGGCTTAGTTATGGTATGTGCGATTTTATGATGCAGTTGAAAGTACCAAGTTTGTGGTGGATGAAGAATGCTAGTGACATGGTAGAAATGAGAAGTAGCTTGTGTTGTAAGTGTAAACATTTTGTGGAAACCAGTGCCTTCAACCTGTTACACCACAGAAATAATACACTGTCCATCCTCATTCACTGTAGTTGTACAAGTGCAGTATAAGTAGTTAACATCCAACAACTACAACATTGGAAACAAATATGATGTGAATACAAACCTCACAAAGAATCCACCCTTTCTGACTTTTATCTCCCAGGAATAAATGATGTTGTCATCACCACCAGTAAAGAAAAAGTCTGATTTATTGTAGTCAAAGGTGCCACAGTTAACAGATTTTTCATGGGCCTGTAAATCAATCTGTTCTAATTAGTTCATTTTAGTAAATGCAATAAACTTAACTTTTATGAAAAAAAAATGTGTGTTCAATGTTGTACAACATGATTAAAATAATGTTTTAACATGTTTGGGAAAAACAAATTTAAAATACATCACATCAAAGAGGAATTAAATACTATTTAAAAATGACTAGAAAAAGTTTTTAAAATGCTGTCACTTGCCTGAAAACTAAGTTTCATTTTATACTGGTTGCTGTTATCTTTCTGCCAAATTTTTACAATGCCATCTCTGTGAAATGGATACAAATTTTGTAAACTACAGTTTAATGGGCTATAGTCAAGACTTTTTTAATGGTCGCAAGTACACAGTGAATCCCTTTGATAAGGATAAAATACAAATAAATCATTGTATAAAACATAAAAACAAAATATTTTACTTTTAAATATAAATTCTTGGTAGGTTTTACATCTACTTTACAATGCCTAAGCTTAAAATGTTTAAACAACAAATCAATTACAAGCAATACATTTAAAGCGTCAAACAAAGAGTAACAAGAACAGACTTACCGACTGCCAGAAATGGCCATCTCTCCTGTAGATGACACATCAATAAAGGTGATGGGGGCGTCATGCTTGGACAGGTTGATCTCATCCCTCAGGTTGGGCTGCCACAGACGCACTGTCTGGTCCAGAGAACAGCTGATGATGTGGTTGTGTTTGTCTGCCTGGATGGACAGGACACGGTCAGAGTGACCAGTCAAGGATGCCAGGCTGTGGCACTGTGTGGATCAAATATACATGTCTTTAAGGACAGGGATAACTCCACACAAAAAAATGCAAGTAATTTCTGAACAGTCATCACCTCCACATTTCAGTTAAGATAAAAATATGGTTAGCGTTATAAATACTACAGAACTCTTAAGACAAAAACAATTAGCTTATTAAGGTATTACAATGATCGTTTATTATGCTTTATTTCTAAAACAAAAAGCTTTCTATTTGTTATTTTTTAGTTATTAGTTATAAAATGAAATGTACTTTATACTGTTTGCATTGTATATAAGATAAAATGAAGCAAGTCATTAGAAATAAAACTTTACCTGTAAAGGTTTCCAAATCCAAACGTCTCCATCATCACCAGCTGAGACAACTAAAACATCTTGTACATTGACTTGCTTCTGGTGCTCGACTGATCTCTTTACCTCAGGCTTGGCATCCATGGAACAGATCTCTGCCCAGCTTTGAGAAGGCTCATCAGCCACATCTGAAACAAGATAACCACGTTTTTTTAATCCTATCTCAAACTCCTAGGGATCTCATACAAAGATTACATAACTGATGAAGACGTCAGGGAAAGGATGACTAATGAGAGGGTCCTTTAGTGTCTACAGAGCATAGTCAAAACAAATTTTAGTTGGACATGCCACACGAACCAGCGGCCTATCCAAAACAATATTGCAGGGCACTGTGCCAGTAGGATAGAAGGAGAAAGCAAAAACATCATTGGATGGATGACTTCAAGGATTGGACTTGGCTGCCAATCTCAGAACTATTCAGAGCAACAGATGACTGATGGCTGGTAGTGAATTATAGGGTCAACTGTGGTGCCCCAACAACAGGGTTAAGGGTGATTAAGGTCAACTGTGGTGCCCCAACAACAGGGTTAAGGGTGATGATCTCAAATCTTGTGCCACTTCATTATCCATGCATATATCAAACCCATCTACAGCTTTATCTATAGACCCTACTTATTATTTTTAATTTAACATTTATGTCTCGCAAATGTATTTGTATTCTAAAACCAGTTGGTCAGCTAGATTAGTCACATTGTATTATATTACTATTTAAAAACTGAACTGCTAGCTATAATTGATCTGCTTCCAGTTGACATGAATATTTCCAATAATAGAATTGAATAACAGAAGTCTACATGCTTATTGATGCTTGTTTGGTGGGTGTATCAGACACAGAATTTATTAGTGGGGTTCAACTTCAGTGTAAAGTTGAAACCAAGTCAGGCTTTCATACAAGATTTTATTTACTGATACAAAACAACAAAGGATAGAAAACTGACAAAAATGTCAGTGAGTCTGTTATTTTCATTCTTGCTGATATATATGTATGGTATTTGCTGTTTTTTTTTTTTTATGCAGTGCACATTTGTAGGCCTACATGATTAGAATTTATGTTGAAATGAGTTACCAATTAGGCCTATTCTTTAAAACTATCATTTCAGGTTGCCTACAAAATCAGTCTGAGCCTTCAACTAGGTATGGTATATCTAATTCATGTGAAAACATAATCAATATTCTTTAATTTAAAATTTAATATAGCCTATCAGTTAAGAATTATTTATCTCAACACTTGCATTTCAACTAATTGTTTACTTACCAGGCTCTTTGTTAAACTTGACAAACATATCGCAGGCATTTACCCTCAGAGAGTGACCTGCCAAAGTTGTGATCAGCACTCCTTTGTGAGACCAAACTTTAACCAGGCCATCACTGCTTCCTGACACTATGCATCCATACTATGAAATGGTATATTAAAAACTTAAACTGTGCAGCCATACTATCAAATGGAATATTAAAAACTAAACTGTGTAGGCATACTAATTAAAAAATATAAATATGTAGCAATACTAACAAATACAAAAATATTTAAAATAATATGACATTCAAAGTAGATTAATATTAAAGATAAAAAAACTTCCTGATTTTGAGTATAACTAAACTATGTTTAAAGTTAATCAATTTTCCTTTTGGGTAGTAACCATTTTTAGCAAATTTAAATTTGACTCTCTAACACCTAAAAACAACTTACCTTGTTAGACACTGTATTGATTGCTGAAGTATGGCCCGATAATATCTGTTTTGATGTGAAACTTTTCATGTCCCAAATCTTCAAATTGAAATCATTGGAAGCTGTCACCTATTTTCACACATGGAAGATAACAATGGATAAGATGAACTCATTTAGAAAAGAATCATACAGCACAAATTAGATAGTTAATGATACCATTGACAAGATAGTTAAATGATACCAATGACAAGATATTTAAATGATACCAATGATGAGATAGTTAAATGATACCAATGACAAGATAGTTAAATGATACTAATGACAAGATAGTTAAATGATACCAATGACAAGATAGTTAAATGATACCAATGACAAGATACCGGTAAAATTATTACCAGGTAGTTTCCAGTATTTGACCATTGGCAAGAATTAATCCAGTCAGCATGACAAGCTGTCAGTACATGTGTAGGCTGGGGAACATCACTGATAAATACATCACGTAGAATGTAAATTCTGATGCTCTGAAAATTATAAGGTTCATTTGATTTTCTAAGTTTTACAGCTGCATCTATTTTCCTGTAACATAATATACCTTTATTTACCTTTTATGGAAGATACATTAATTTAATTATGCTAAAAAGGTATACCTGATTTCTTAAAGCAAACCTGTTTACCTATGTTTTATTTGTGATAATTAAGCCTACAAGTTAGTTATTTATCTATGATAGAAAAGGTGTCTGTGATTAGCTACAGTATACATATACACTCTTTACCTACATTAAATGTGGTTCTTCCATGTCATGAACTACATGAAGTACATTTACATACATCAAAGCATGCCTACACCCTTTTATTTTTATTGAATCCAGTGCACCTATTTATCTATTAACTATTATCTGATGCAATACATTGAATGTTATCTGAAGTGTTAAGTGAAACAAAATTGTATAGAGAAGACCAAAGTTTTTTACTTACTGCATCACGACTTGATGTAGCCAGCATTGTTTCATCAGGACTGAATGTGCAGGAAGTTACAGGACCCAAATGACCTGTCAACTTGGTCGTGGGTTGTGACCTGAAATAAGGGAAGGAATTCATAAAGGGAACTAAGGGAAAGAATTATTATTTTTAACTATTTGGGTTATTTGATTAAAAGAATGACTATTTTAAAATGAAAAATAAGTTTAAAAACTACTGACTGCTTAGAGCTCTTGAGCTGTCTGATGTTCTCATACAAACAACAAGTAAAGTCCTCACTGCCACTAGCCACATAAGACTTGCTTGTCTCTATGCACAGTACTGGCTTGCTGTGACCCAACAGAGTACATGTCCTGGATCCTTGGCCACTGTTTAATACCTAAAAGGATGAAAAAAAAATGTAATTTGTTTTTATTGAAACTAATCTTTATAACATGTATACCCTGCTTATGTAATCATGGAAAAAAGTGAGTAATTAAATTATTACTATACTTTAGCCTACGGCAATGGGACGGTGTGGCCTAGCGGTACAGCGCTAGCTTACTAACTCGACTAGTTCCAATCTGGGTTCGAGTTAGCAAAACAGTCACCCAGCTCTGATGGGTACCTAACTCACATGAGGGAGAGTAAAGACGGCTGACCACACTATCCCTTCATATGCTGAGGTCACAAAAACAAGTGAACTCTACTTCACTGGCTCCATGGACTGTCTGCTACAAAAAGGGAAAATTACTTTTAGCCTATATGTGGATTTTTACCCTAATTTTTACTTTACAAAGTATAAAGTCTTGTAATCGAATCGAACATTTTACGTCTCCCTGAGTTGGAAAAGCATATTTTTGCAATCTTGTCCATATGACTGTGTGTCTGTGTGTCTGTAAACACGATAACTTGAGTACCGTTACAGCTAGGTTGATGAAATTTCATGTACAAGTATTTTATCAAAATCGTAGATCTGTATCAACTTTTGAGCGATTTCCGATAACCGGAAGTGGTACTTTTTCTACTTTGAATTTTTCAAAAGCCTATAACTTGAGTACTATTTCAGATAGATAAATGAAATTTCATATGTAAGTAAAAGATCTAATCCTCTACCTTCAATCAAATTTTGAGTAATTTCCATTGACCGGAAGTAGTAATTTACGCTATTTCCGATTTCTCAAAAAACGCATGTAAATTTATAAAGTACTAACAATATTCCACACTATTATGCACAGTTTGTTTTGGCGTTCGCTTGGTGCGCAATTCTTTTTTTCTATGAGATTCTATTCTATTTTTAAAAGTTTAAGTAATTAAAAATCATGTCTATATTCCGAGTTGCCATCCCAGGTAGTGTTACATAAGAATATTCGAGAAAGTTTAGGGGAGATCACTCCCGGTTTATTTACCATAATTTTCACACTATCAGAGGCATAGCGACCTTTCCCGGCGCCCGGGGACAAACTGTTCGATTTGCACACACCCTCGAAATTTCCATTTGCACCCCCCCTCTAACTTTCCAACCCATTTTGGCGCCCCCTAAGGTCGCCGCCCGGGGACATGTCCCGTCCCCCCGCTACGCTACTGCACACTATCCCTTAAATGTAATCTTAACAGCAATAATGTCAAAAGTGTTGTGATATTTTAAAAAACAAGACAATTCAGATCCTGCTAATAAATTGATAAAACTAGTTATAATTACCACTAATTTACCTGAATAGTGGTATCATCAGATCCAGCCAAAATATAAGCTCCATCTTTAGAAAATGCGACCGCTCTAACAGCACACTTGCATAAGTTGTTCTCAAATATTTTCACACCTGTATGAAAATATTTTTTGCACATTTTAAAATAGGCCAACACCTTTCTAAAATTACCTTGATTTTATACACAATTATTTTTTAATGAACTCACCAGTGTTGATGTCATAGGTACGAACTAGCCCCTGATGGTAGCCAACAGCTACTGTGAGACCATTAGGTGAGATACTAACAGAAACAGCTGCCCCATGCTTTTCTGTGTGGATCTTGTGTATAGGAATGCCAAGATCTCCAGACCAGACCTAAAAATAAGACGAAATTGTTTTAAAAAGTTGGATTCACAATTTATTCAAAATAGAAATGAAACAAATAAACTACCTTAATTTGATGATCTTCTCCGGCAGTTATTAACTCCTTGCCAGTAGGAGAAAATATTAACTTGCTGATGGGCCCACAATGACCTTTAATATGTCCAACCTAGAATCAAGATTGTATTAGCTATAATATAGATACATGAAAAAAAACAAATTTTAGAACCATAATTTTACAGGATTATTTTAAAATAAATTTTTAAAATGTCACTCTAAAAACAGGAATTTTGAGGATACTAAAAATGAGTAAAATTGTTGGGAGAGGATACCTGAGCTCCCTTGTCAGCTGCCCAGATTTTGATGTCCCCATCTAAAGCGGCAGAGGCCAGGTGAGTACCATCTAATGAAAACGCCAAGTCTCTCACAGATGTAGCATGACCTCTGAGAACCTGTCACGTGAAAAAACTTCCACTAAATCCGATGATTTGATTCTCAAGTCACATTTCACACAAAATATTTTACATATTTCACACTAAAATATTTCACACTAAAGGAGATTGATGACTTAATCTTTTTGCAGATTCATTAGAAAAAAAGGTCTCTATATCGAAGATAAATTTCTTATTTAAAGTGAACAGAGCTTTAACTAGAACCAGAGTTTCACTTACAGCAATCCTAGTCTGGTGAAAATAGTTGTAGATGCGGATTTGGGAATCCCAACTGCCTACTACAATCTTCTCCTCTAAGGGATGAAACTGGACACTGTTTACAGGACTGCAACAAAGACATTCGGAATATACATTATACATTTTGAAAATTGGTGTTATAATTTTATATGTGCAACATTTTAAATTTTATAATAATCATCAAAAAAGCTTCTCATTTTTATCTGAAAAGTGTCAACTGAAGATAGAACAATAAATTTCTGGAAAAAAGTAGATTTCATTAAACGCTCAACGGCTATGTTAACAGTTTATTTTTTGTGAAATTATTATTTTGAAACAGTAATTTATATTGTTCCACTTTTTATATATAAAGAAGAAATATCTAAGTTAAAACTGAAAATCTAAATAACAGACATTATTAATGTTCCAACAAAGATCAATGCTAAATTTAAAAACAGAAGACGATAATTTTTGTAATCCATTATTCAACAACAGTTCAACCAGTTAAAAAATGAATACCTCTCTATATTAAAATGACACATCTTCTCAGCATTGGCAACCTTCCATAAATAAACAGTACAGTCCCATCCACCAGATGCTATAATTTTGCCATCAGCAGTTGCTGCACATGAATTCACTCGACGACGGTGTTCTTTTAATGTATGGATCCTGAGGGAGAGAATAATTCACTTTTATTTCTAAATTTGATTATAAATAAAAGCATTGCAATGTGACAACCAATCACTGTGTAGATTACCTGTGTCCATTATCAACATCCCATACACACAGAGTGGTATCTGATGAAGCACTACAGAGCATTTTATCCCCAACAAAGCAAACATCATTAATGTATCCAGAATGACCATGGAAAGTGCAGAGTTCCTATAGAAAAAAAATGTTTTATTAACCTAAATAAGCTGTGGTGGTCAAAAGGTATAAAATAAAAATACCTAGGTGCCCTAGAATTGAGAATGTGTCATGAACTTCATTAAGTTTTTTTTTTTAGTTTTTTTAGGGGGAAGGGGGGGGGGGGGGATTTTTTTTTAACAGTTGAATTTCTTTTACACTTGTTTGTTGAGCTTGAAACAAAAATGTTTTCATTTCACAATTTTTAAAAACAGAGTGAAGTTTCAATCTCTGTAGAGACATTATTTTATAGTTGACCTTCGTGCTAAAAGAATATGTCAAAATATAAACATTTTGAGTTGAGATTTACAAATTAAAATGGGCAATTAAAATGAACATTTTTATTTGAAAGGGGATTTTTAAATACACAAGTTAACCTACTTATTTAGGCAGCAGTAGCGTACGCAGGGGGGGAGCAGGGGGAGCGGCCGCTCCCCCTCTGGCCATTTTCAGCAAAGTGGCGCCTTTTTGGAAACTTTTTAAACTTAAAGTTTTAATCAATGATATTTGTTAAAAAAATATTTTTGGTCGGCACATCTATGTAAATCACAAGATTTCTTTTCATGCAGCAATTAAGCATTATTGTACTAGTCTAGTAGTGTCTACGTTTACAACACGTATTAACAGCTGCATCAGTTTGCCATTCTAAAATTAACCATTATAATGCATTGCAATGTTTAAAAAACCTCTACGGGTAGTACCACTTGGCAAGAGGGGTGTTAAGTTTAAGGCAACTGTATAATGTATTTGCTTACGAATGATTGAATTAGAAAATGGTATACATAAACATTCACACATAATTACTTTATATATATACAGTTTGAATCGTGTGATTATTTTTTTGTAAATTACAATACAGAAACAAATACAACTGATGTGGCACCTCTACTTAAATTTACTTATGAGCAAACTGCGTAGTCGTGGGAAACTTTTGACAAGGTCAACAACGTCATCACGATGAAGTAGTAGTATTCTTACAGTTTGGGCGATTGTGATTACGATTACAAATTATATGAAACAGTTACAACCCACCGCCCCCATGGATCCCTCTGTAAAAAAAATATTGTCATAATACCACTACTACTTATTTAAATCTATTTCTGTAATATATATTTGTGTAATATATGTGTGTGTAATATATATGTATGTTTAGAACAGTCATCTAAAAACTGACGCTATGTTCACTCTGAGTTGGTTATCTCCCCCCCCCCCCCACACACACACACCTCACCTCCACAATTGTGTAGAGCGACATTAATGTCACACCTAGGTATGCACTGGGTTGGATAATTAACCTAAAGTGACCGGACAGTGGTGAATGAAGTTGAACCCCCCCCCCCCCCCTCTACAACCCACCCCGAACTGATCTGTTAAGTACATGTAGAAAAACGCGTAATGATGTACCAAAGTACTATGCCGCCAGAAAATTACCTTTAAAACGTAAAACTCTGTGAATATTGTTTTTGCAATTACCAGTAAAAAGGTGTGTGATCTAACCCATACCTATCACTATGTTAAAAAATTACCTTTAAAAAACACTAAGAAGCAGTAGTTAATTAACAATTTATGATCTGAACTAAAAAGGCCGATATTTAGTTAAATTTCGGCTGTTATTCCGCGTGTTTTTCTATAATATCGAAAAGCGTGGTTTTATACCAACTCTGATTTTAAAAAACTTTTATTATGCTGTAATACTTTAGTATTTATGATGACGATATATTAAATTCTGATTATAGATAAAAACATTTTTTAAACTCGAATATTGTTAAACAATTTCATTATATTCTAAAGGAATTATTTATTTGTTTTGCCATTTATAATTACATGTGTAGATATATACATATTTATATTAAGAGAGTGATTATTTCCCCTATTTCACTTGTCTTAAATAATTTCCCAGGAATTATTATGTAAAATAATTTTTTTACAAGAATTACAAAACAGATTGTGTTACGATCATTGTTTTTGGTTGTAGTGTGTATATTTTTTTTTTGTTTTGTCGGCCTACATTGTGTATTTTTTTCTTATTTCTTCAGAGTGATACTTTCAATTTTTTTTTACATCATAGCGAAGTAATGACATACAGCTAGTAGTTTTATATATATATATATATATATATATATATATATATATATATATATATATATATATATATATATATATATACAGAACGTGTTAAAATTCGGCGCCTTTTTTTGCTCTTTTCGCTCCCCCTACAACGAAAACCTGGATACGCCTCTGTTAGGCAGATAAAGTGAAACTAATTTTGACAAAAATGTGACTAGCACTTTCAGTTATTGAATGCAAGAGCAATGATTTATATTATGTTATAGCTTTTAAGGTTCAATAATTGTATGTATTTAAAGTATTCTATTATAAATCATTTGTAAAATATTAGCTAACTTTAACTTTGAAAAAAAAACAGTCTGCATATTATATAAAAAGTGTGCATTTTTAAATTTCTCACATTTCCCGTGCTCATGTCATAAAGTCTAACTGACAGGTCCTGTGAGCCAGTGGAAAACTTGCTACCATTTGGTGAAACAGCTACACATGTGACTGGCTGAAAAGTAAAAAATATAATTTTAAAAAAAACTCCAAAATTATGTAACTACAGCGGATGCAGGCTTTACTGAAAATTTGAATTTTTTTTTTAATCTACGTTTAATAAATTTTTAAAATTTAGATTTTTAATTGTACAGAGTAACAGTGCAAAGTTCCAATAATAAGAAATAAGTTCTTATATTACTTACAAGTTTAAAACTTGACAATGTCAAGTAGCATTCATTTGCTGTCTCAGGTTTGTTAAGCCATTCAATATGTGGAGGTGCAGTATGGCTCATATTTATGACATCTTTGTAAGGAATAGTGTCTGATGGTTCATTTATGGCCTGTTGCCATTCTAACGATGGATAACTAAACAAAAACAAAAATGTTAACATTAATTTTTTCCTCATTTTATTCTTATTTAACTATTCTATAAAATAATACAAACATAAGAAAAGCTTAATACAATCATTTTGAGAAGAATGTTAATTTTTAAAGGGGAAATATTTTTTAACAAGAAATTTCCCCATTATAACCAGCATGAGCTGGACAGTTTACAAAATGCAGTGAAATATAAAATCCATCATAAAAATTATCAATTTTAACTCCATGTTTAAAATTGATATTGGACAAAACATCTAGACAAAAATTTTAAATGGACACATTTCCTACCTCACAAACACCTCAATATTCCTTGAAACAAAAGATTTGTACTGCACCACTCGAGGCTGTGCTAAAAAATTTGCCACATTTTTCTCCACAATCTTGCTGGGGAAGGATACTAAAAACAAAAATTCTAATAAATGGTTAAATAGAAATAAGACACAGAATAGCACAATAATGTACATTCATTTTAGATATTTTCTGTTTCTTGTTCATTTCTAAACATTTCATTAACCAATTAATCAACTAGATAAGTCTACCTTGGGGAGAGAAGTCATCCATAAGTTTAGCAGCCAATCCCAGAGAACATTTGGTTTGAATAAACTTGTGGTTGCACAGAACTGTCTCTAGTTCATTGAAATGCCCACAACATGCCTAAATAGAAATTCAAAAAAACATTTTGACTTTTTTTCCTAGAATATTTCACAACTGGTCTCTAAAACAGGTGGTCTCTTTTTCATCTGCCCCATGTGTCTTGGGCACACAGGAAAAATATGAATGAAAAAAATATAACTTGTAGAACTAATAGTTGATATGTATGTGAGATTACAAAAAAGGGCACTACATTCAAGAAATTAACTTTAAGATTGTGTTAAACACCAGTACCCTTTTGGTTTCATCAGAAGGGCTTTATTTTGCCTATTTATATTAAAATGTGGGTTAATAAAAGTAAATAAAGCTGCTGTAAAGTGAAGCATTTCTTACATTACTACAACGGTATTTTGTGTTTATTAAAATATTTTCTAACCATGCCATCCCCATAAGATTTTATAATTTTAAATTATGTATTCAAAGATAGCTAAAATACAACTATTATAAATACAAATCCTTTCAATGTTATTATGGTGTTTTTAAAAAGCTACATAGTATATTAATGCATTCTTCTAAATATTGCACACTAGTAAAGCTTGCTTCACTTTTAACCATCCATTTTATACATGGATTAGATTGTACTATTACAGAATGGGTAGGCCTAAGTAATAAAACAGTTTTACCAGATGATATGGCAGCTCTGTAAAAGCTCTTGTGTTTTGACTCTGCCAAGAACTATCTTTCCGAGGATCTGCTTGCCTTAGAAAATATCCTGAAAAAGCAGAACAAGCATTAAGTGATTGATAGACATATTGTTCAATTTTTTAAAAATTCTTTGAAAAGCTTATTACAGTAACTACCTTAAATTAAATAGATATTTCCTCGATTAGATTAAAAGCAGTATTATAATGAAAACAGTATACATCATATAGCATTCATTAATCTGAATTACAATCAAAATATTGATGTTACCAGCTAAAATTTTATGCAGGTAAATCTCCAGAGCATTGTCTGTCCTTTTCAGATATCTAGTCCTAACAGCAACACGAATTTCATGGTTGGTTAAAGCCACAACTGGAGCCCTGTAAGACATTGCCACTAGTTAAAATTGACTGAAACTGACACTAGCCCAAAGGGACAGCAGGAGAGGGATCACAAGGGCCCCAAGGGATCACAGGAGCCCCAAGGACAAAGGGAGCCCTGAGAGACCAGAGAAAGAAACATTTACAGAAATGGGTGGAGTATAGACTAGCTGATGGGACGTTGTGGTCGGATGTTACAGCATACAACTGCTAACCAGAAAGTCTGAACTTAATATCCCTGTGATGCATATCTATCTTATATTAAGTAAAGTACAGGTGGCTGGGAATAGTGCTGACTACATTATCCCTTCATATGTAGAAGTCACAAACAGATGAACTACATCTGCCCCCATGGACAACCAGGTTTAAAAAGGTCACTTTACTTTTTTATAGACTAACAGTTTTTTTACAAATTGATTGAAGGACCATAGGAGACCTGAAGGACTACAAGAGAATGTAAAAGCAAACTGACAAGTAGGTGGAGCATAGACCAGCTTTTTAATTCTCCACTAAAACAAACCAGTGCACTCACCATGTAGAACTAGGGTTGAGGAAACCCATTACTGATCTGATCAAGAATGTAAAGGTCAATGGCGGTATCAGGTTAGAAAAATCCAGACTATGGTTACAGAAGTCGCTGAGTTCAAACTTTCCACTGTCAAAACATTTGCACCAGTTCAGCAGTTCATACAGCTCCTCCGGATACAGTCCTGTTTGCATACAGAATTAAATTTATTTCAAGCAACTTCAATTGCAACCATTCAGATTGTAAACAAAAGGCTAATTTTTGCTACACCAAGCAATAAAACACTGCCTCAAACATAGGAGCTCCTACCCTGACCATAATAGCAACTACTGAACTAATTGAAAAAATGAAAAACATTCTATTTTTTTGTATGTTTTTTTTTTCTATGCAGCTGTTAAGAAATCAATGATTATGAATGTGTAGAAATTCACTACAAATTAAAAAACAGCTTAAAATTTTCAATAATTATTAACCAGATGTTAAAAAAAATTGTAATTCATTTTAGAAATATTACTAACATTAAATGTAAAGTCAAGTTTATAAATACAACTTGCCTTCTCTCACACAGGCTAAAAGACACAGAGCAGTGGAAACCAAATTTTTTCCATGATCCTCTTCCAGCCTAACTAGCACTTCCTGTAACATTTGAGATGTGGTGTGTGGCAAACTCTTTAATTTATCTGTTATCTGAAATTATCAAGTTTTTCCAATCATAACACAAAAGCTCTAAACATTTGCCAGTTACAAAATAAAACAATCTTCAACAACGTATTGGCAAAATGTGGGGTTTTTTTTAATTTGTTCAAGCATTGAATTTTGGCAGATTTTGTGGATCCACCTGGTCAATTAAAATATATACACAACTCTAACATACAAACACCAAAATGAAGTTATTCAGTCTTAATTTTAAATTGCCAAAATAAATTTAAATTGCTGTTAGCAGTTTTGATAGAGTTACAGTTTATGGAAAAATACCAAATAAATATAGATCTAGGCCTACAACAAATAGAGTTCATAAAACCATAATTAATAATTTAATACACGGCAACTAATGAAGTTGTACATTTTTAGTGAGTGGCTTGCTATAGTAGCTATGCAAACTATATCTATTTACCTTCTCAAAGACACCATATACCCGAAGCTCTTCACAGGCCAGTTTCAAGTAGAGTGGATTGTGGGCATCTTTTTTCAACATTAGAAATTTCATCTGGAATAATGTAAAATTATAAATACACAAGTGTTGCAGGCTTTATGCTAAATAAACAAACAAGTGTAATGCTCAATATTTACTTACTTGATTTCCAAATCCAGATTCATCCAAGACCTTCCGATGTTTACTTAAAGTCTGGCGTACTAAATCTGCCTTGTCCCACATATCCAACCCTCCAACATTGATTTCATCGAAGCATAATCGTTTCATGGATTTGTGAGTTTTCCCTCCCTCCACGGCATTGATCACAATAACCACATTCTGCCAAAATGTATGGTGTTCAAGTTACTATTCATTTTATTTTACTTTAAAAAGTAACCTAACAATGGACCATCTTTTTTTTTTTTTTACATGTAAAAGAAATAATGTTTGAGTTGATTAGGTAAATGTGTAAAAAAAAATTATGTACAATTATTTGTGTTTTGCAGCTGTTAAAAGTTTAAATAGAGCTACCTCGGGCATTGGTTTGGGCATCCATTCCAAGCTAAACGGTTCATTAGCAGCATCCATTTGGTCAACACCATCCAAAAAGATAACAAACTTGGATGTGCAGTGTTTACCAGCTTCTTCTAACAAGTCTTTAAATTTCAAAACCAGGTTCCTAGAAGAAATGAATGTTTAAATAGATCATTGCAAAGTGGTTTTTCAAAACGTCATGTTTGAGCTATATATTAATTTATACAATGATGAAAAAAATAGTGAGTTTTAAATATCACAAGTGTATACAGAAAACTTTGAAAACACTTTAGCCCATAAGTATAAATATATCTCATTTTGTATACAATACTTAAACCCATATACTTTAACACAGATCTAAATAAGGTATCATACTAGTATAAATATACGGCAATGTATAGCACATCCAGTAATTAAAATATAAATAGTGTAAATAAAATAAAATAAAACATACTTAAAGTCCCCTGGTAAAGTGCACGCTAGCCCAAACCGAGTGTTTATCTGAATGGCCAGCCTCCTCAGGGTTGCAGTTAGACTGTTTGACCCAGGAGCTGAACCAGCAATGTTGACCAGGACTCCCATTGTGTTTGGGGATTGACCAGATCTGTCATTCACATACTGCATTATAGTGGCAGCCTGCAATACAGGTGTGAAAACAGGTTTAATTTCTAGACCAAATAAGTGTCTGGGGCTAAAGTGTCTGGGGCTAAAGTGTCTGGGGCTAAAGTGTCTGGGGCTAAAGTGTCTGGGGCTAAAGTGTCTGGGGCTAAAGTGTCTGGGGCTAAAGTGTCTGGGGCTAAAGAGTCTGGGGCTAAAGAGTCTGGGGCTAAAGAGTCTGGGGCTAAAGTGTCTGGGGCTAAAGTGTCTGGGGCTAAAGTGTCTGGGGCTAAAGTGTCTGGGGCTAAAGTGTCTGGGGCTAAAATGTCTGGGGCTTAAGTGTCTGGGGCTTAAGTGTCTGGGGCTTAAGTGTCTGGGGCTCAAGTGTCTGGGGCTCAAGTGTCTGGGGCTCAAGTGTCTGGGGCTCAAGTGTCTGGGGCTCAAGTGTCTGGGGCTCAAGTGTCTGGGGCTCAAGTGTCTGGGGCTCAAGTGTCTGGGGCTCAAGTGTCTGGGGCTTAAGTGTCTGGGGCTAAAGCGTCTGGGGCTAAAGCGTCTGGGGCTAAAGCGTCTTACCATAAGAGCAGTTTTTCCACTACCAGGTTTGCCAACTAAACCAAGAGAACCGAGTGTTGTGGACTTGATCTTGGATATTATCTGAGAAACCAGTGTTTTGCGACCAACAAAGTCTGAGCTAAGTTTTTCAATGAAGCTCCATTGTAAATTATGAATATGAACCTCTTCAGTCAAAACTTCAACCTAAAATTTTAGTAAAAAAAGTCATACTAAATGAAGCTGCAAGTCTCACTAAATTACATTTTCTACTAAAAGATTCTAGATACAGGTAAATTATTTTATGAAATTCAGAAATCTATTTTTAGAGTAATAGAAACTAAAAGAAAAAAGAATTCAATTTTTTTTTAAAATAGTAATCAAGTAAACTTACTTTGGGAAACATTTTACTAATTGCATTAATCAGATTGTTGAGAACTCTTGCTCCAAACATGTCTAGTCCAGCAACTATTGGTTTCCCATCAACACATCCACCCCAGTGGCAGGGATATCTATAAGTTTGTTTTAGTTATGTAAGTAAATTATACTGTAAAACTAATTACATCTATTTTTAAGTTCACCAAGTAAATTAAACTGAAAAATGTATACCTATTTATTAAAAGGCCTCCGTACTGTTGTTACAGTTATTGAATAAATTGAATAAATTGAAATTGAATAGCTTTAAAAAATTAATCAAACTAAAATTGTTTCAAATCAATGTTTAATGCAATTAAACTGAAACTTGGTGCAATTGTACACTATTTTTCCTTCCTCCCAATAAGAACAGTGTGTAAAGATTAAGAGTGAACTTTATTATGGGAGATACAGTAGAGTTACTTTACATGTTAAGGAAGAGAATTTTCCTTTAGCAGTCAGGTTGTTTATTTCCAAACTCTGGTGAGTTCTATCTAAACAATATAAATATTACTGGAGCAGGTATAGGTAGAATTTTATGAGACCTTTCAAAAACTGTTCAGCTTGTTACTTCCTCCATGGAGATAAAACACTGCTCTTATACTATCTATCATTTGTGTTTCAAATCATAGAAGATTCATAGTGCTCCTATAATAGTGATTCGTATTAAGGCTAAAGAATAGAAAAGAGGAAATTTACCCATCATACACCTCTAAACCACTGTTTCTGATCCGTTTCTTCAAAGCTGTGATTTTATTTTTGTGGACTTCAGACTCAGACTTGAATTCAGCCTCAAAACCAGCCGGTATGTCCCTGTACACAAGTCATTTGCTTTTTAAGTTGCAGAATTAATTAATTTTTTTTAATGTATGATTTAAGAATGAATTGGCCACTGAAGCATAAGAAGAAAGAATTAGTCTTGAAGCAGTGAAAAATTAACAGATAGAAACTAGCTGTCAGGCCAAAGCTGTATTTTCTAAATTAGCTTGTAAAAACATTTTATGCTTCGTTATTTTTTAAAAATTGATCTTAAACTTAATTTTATTTCTAGACAACTCAGGTTAAACCATCTTTTAGATCAAAGATTAATTTGGAAAGAGGTGAATTTGGAAAAAAAAATGTAATGCTTGTTGATATTAGCTATTTATGAATATCTGCACACTCTAAAAGTATTACATGAGTAAAAAATTTTTAACCAGCTTAAATCATGTCACAAATTCTACAGGCTTCAAAATCTTACTTTTCAAATGTATCATCCCTGAAGAAGAAGAAACTTGTGTGTCTTGCCTCTTTCACTTTTGAGATGGCTCCCAGATGCATCTCCAACTCTGTGACTGAAGCTCCTGGTGGGTAATGCCGCACCCAATCAAACTCTTGGGTGTCAGGAATTTGGTAGCTGCTAGGGGTCCACCCATACCTCTCTCCAAGCAATCCAACAAAGAAATGACAGCGTGACACCTCTTGCAGACAAATTTCTAAAGTCCTTGAAAGTTCCAAAAGTGATAAATTGACTTTTAGAACAAATTGATAACTTAATTTCTCAAGTTTTGAATTGTTTAAATTTGTCAAAAATAAGTGGGGGTTTTTTTTAGTATAAAAATTAAATTTTTAATGTCATTTTAAATTTGTGCGCTTACTGCATGCTTTGAACTTATAAAATATACATGATAATCATTTCAATAAGGGATTAGTTCTGGTACACAAGAAAGCATTTATCCAAAATAACATACCTGTTATCTTTAGTGTCTTCTTCTAAGAGACCCCATCTTAAATCAACTTCATGAACATTAATAAAGTGCTTCTCTGCTAGTGATCTCAGTTCAGGAAAGACAAATCTTGTCAACAAATCACGTTCCCCATGCATGTCACGGAAAGTGGATGATATAAAGACCCGAACAGTTCTCCAGCTGTTAGTATGTAAACAAAAGGTAAATTAAAAAATTAAGTTCTTTAAAACCTGTATTCTAAAATATGAGATCATTTTACCTTTTCCTCTCTGTCAGTGCATTAAATCCATACCCCAATCCATACCCAAATTGATCATTCACACCCCTCCCCCACCCAATTGATCAAAAGTCTGTACACATAAAGACATGTATTTTTAAAAAGATTACTAGGCTATTCATCTTGTAAGTTACTGTCAATGGGGTTAGAGCAAATCTTAAATAAAAAGTTAATTTCTTTGGAATGTTTTGAAAATGTAATTATTAAAAATTTTAACCATGGTACTGGGGATGTCAGTTGCAATGTACTCTCTGGGTGAAGGACTGGTGGCTTGGTTTTAACTGGTCCAGTTTGGGTCTTAGCTATGGGTCGTAACTGAAATGCTAAGTCTATATTGTCCACATGGTTTACTTGTCCTGCAGCTCCTCTCTCAGCAATAAATCTGAAGAATAATAATTTTATAAAATTGTATTTAGTCTATACATAAGTTCATGTATATACACACGTAGTAGTTGTAAAAAGTTCTTCACCTACAGTTAGCTTACAAACAGATGTATAATTTTCTACAGGGTATTGCCAAACTGCAGTTTGTTTTCAAAATAAGATATTATGTCAAAGCAAATACTAGCTTTTTTTACGTAGTTTTAACCTTCAGTACAATAAGTGAAAGAGCTAACTGTAGAAGAAAAAAAAAATTTTAATTTTGTACCTTAAAATTGAATCACTATATCCACTGATGTAAACATCATTTACATGAACTTGAAATCCTGGATCTATGAATCTGAAAACAATTTTTTATCACATTTAAGTGAAATTTGTAACATTTAGCCAAAAACAAATTTGGCAATAAAGTTAATAATTTGTTAATAAATCTGATCAGCTGTAAAAATTTTAAATAATTCCTCTTGAGTTGAAATTCAATTTTGAAATCTTGAACAAAAAAGTCCCTGTATTCAACTTAACATAAAAATTTAAAAAAAAGAACTTTTTACCCAACACTATGGCTTGCGAAAGTCACTGATACATATAGTACATTAGGATTTACAATAAGCCTGTAGTGGTTGAGGAAGTTCCTCATGAATATAGCTCTAGAAGAATCTGTTCCTGGGTCAAAGTCTTCTCCAAAAATTAAAATGTTGTCTACCTGTTGGGATATTTTTAAATGATTTTTGGAAATTTTAGAGAATTGTTTTTTAATTATGACCTTAGGTAATTTTTTAGAATTGTATTGATTATTTATAATTGTAGAGATTTTTTTTTTACTTATGATCGTAAGTCATTTTAGTGAAATATATTTTATAATCATCTTTAGCAGTTTTAGGGTCATTTTAAAATAAAGGTACATTATGAATAAAAAAGATAATTCACTAACTTGAACTCTGTCTCTTAATTTTTCCAGTAGAACATCTGAAGGCATTGAAGAACTATACCATCTATTCTGTCAACACAAAACGATTAAGTGAATTACAGAGGAAAAGCAAATGTATCTAAAAAAAAAATGGGAAGTTTAAAAAGATTTCGACTCCTAGAAATAAAAAAAAGCAGCAGTTAACTCACCCCACTTTTCAGTTTGGTTTCAAAAACATTTTTCATGTTGTCTAAAATGGTGCCTTGCTGAAGTTCAACAGTGGTATAGCTAGAACTGGAGAATGCAATCATTTCACATTCTTCACAGCAATATTTGCACATTAGCCCCATCAGTACAGAGATCTCCCCTACCTGAAACATTGAATAATAACATTTTCTTCTATATTACATAATTCCATCCTTCATTTAAATATTACATCTCTATATATAACTAGCTGCATACATGTATTAACTTGGGAAAAGAACAAAACTAAACACAACCACAACCCAACCACAACCCAACCACAACCCAACCACAACCCAACCACAACCCAACCACAACCCAACACAACACAACCACAGAACAACACAAAACCACAACACACACAACACAACCACAACACAACCACAACACACACAACCACAACACAACCACACCACAACCCATCACAACCACAACGACAACACATCACAACCACAACACATCACAACCACAACACATCACAACCACAACAACAAGACAACGACAACACAACGACAACACAACGACAACACAACGACAACACAACGACAACACAACGACAACACAACCCAAACACAACCCAAACACAACCCAAACACAACAACAACACAACCACAACACAACCACAACACAACCACAACACAACCACAACACAACCACAACACAACCACAACACAACCACAACACAACCACAACACAACCACAACACAACCACAACACAACCACAAAAGAAAACAAACCCAAAAGAAAACACAAATCCCAAACAAAATACAAACAAAAGAAAACAAACACAAAAGCAAACACAAAAAGCAAACACAAACACAATATAAACAAACACAATGCAAACACAAATGAAAACACAAATGCAACACATTAACACAAAAGGAAAATCAAATGCAAATAAAAACACAAATGAAAACAAACACAAAACTCATAACAAACACAATTTGCAAAAATAAACGCATGGTGCTCACAGTCATGGCACCAATCAGCGGATGCGCCTGATTCAGTGAACTATAAAACCCCCAGCTTTTCCGCAAACCAAAAGATAGAATAACAATTAGTAAACAGTATGTTCAGTGTATAAAATTAATAAAAGGCAGTATTTAAAATATTCATGTTTTACCTACCATATTGCACTTTATCAATCCATATATTTTTTTTTCAGTTAATTTAAATTTAAAAAATTTACAATAGAGTTTCATGACTAAAATCATTGCACACCTAATGAATGTGATGACTTGTCTAAAATAGTGCGGAATAGTTGATTAAAAATTATAATTTGTAAACAGGACGTTTAGTGAATAAAAAAAAATAAAAGATAGCCTTTTATCAATCCATGCTAATTATAATATTCCAACAAAAATGTCCTCTTACAATTATGTTCTCTGCAGATTTGCATTCACATTTTGCTTATATTATTCCAACAATAATTCCCTCTTGGAGATTTTGCATTTACATTTTTGTATTAGAGCGAGTTGAATTTATTTTTGAATTACCTCCCTTGGCAAAATTACAAAAACTGTTTCATTAATTCAACCCTACTATTATTAAAATGTATCCACTTTTTCTAAGAATCAAAACGAAAATGATATTTGACATTGATCCGTTTAATGTTTTAGCAATGTCCGTGTATTTAATATTTTCTTTTCTTTAAGCGAAAAAGTAAAATAGAGTTGTAGGGAGAATTTCTCCAAACATAAGACAAAAAAATGGTAACATTAAAAAAGGAAAGAGTATTTACACTTTTTCAACACATGCAGTCAGTAGAATACACTGAGAAAGGAAGAAGATAATATCACGAGGAAAGCTATGGACTGGAATTCCCACAAGGAAGGAGGAACGCGAGTCAGCGCAAGAAATCACGGGGAAGATCGGTAGAAGAGGCAAAGGTCGTGGGGTCTGCTTGGGTTCAGATAAGGAGAGCCACCCGAAACAGAGTCTGGTGGAGAGATGTGATTGCAGCCCTTTGCTCCCCAGGGTCCAAAATAGAATAAGTCAAGTAAGTCTGTGTCAATAGAATGCTTTGAATCCACTAGCCTGAAACAATTATCAAAGAACAAATATGGCATCAAACAACCTACTGAAAATGGTCATGGATTTCCCATAGATTAAGCATAACAAGACAAGCCTTCACCTGGAAAAATAGAGGCACGCCAAGAAAAATCTGTAAACATGACATTACCAGAAAGATGAGTTACAAATTGGACCAGCTGGGCAAGATAGCTCACAATTGAGTGACCTAGTGGGAAGGTTAAATATTTTAACAGTGATGTGAATTAGTGTATGATTTCAGTTAACTTGAATTATAAACTGACAAAATAAACTATATAAACTCAGTTTTTAATCAAATTAAATACTTTTGTGCATTAAAACTAATGGGACTGCATGGTAGAGGCATATTTGGTTCACTTGTTTGAGTTCTTAAGATACCTCTAATCCCCCTTAACCTTGATGGATACCAGCAATAGTCAGAGTAACTAATTTATCTTCAGATTTTAAAAGGCAGCTAACTTTTCAGGCATTTATTAGAAATACTGCAACAAATACAGGGAATCTTACTGATCTTGGTGCTCCTAAGCCCTTAGCAGTGGGACAGACATCACCTTCCTCAATTTCACACAGAAGTAAAGTTCGCCCCCTGATAGGCTGCACATTATGAACTGTTGCAATTTTTACTGCTTCATCTAAGGATTTGCGATAACGCTGAATCAGATTCTTATCATAAGGTACTTCGCTGAAAAGAATTTACAAAAAATGTAAAGCCACAAAGATCTTCATGTAAACAAATAAGAGTAGTAAACTATTTTAGAAATTTTATAACCATGATCCTGATTAAACGTATTTCATTTTGGCAATTGATGAAATAATCTAGTTTATCTAAACTCATTGTTCAACTTTAAAAAGTGATGCAGTGTCAGAGCAATATTCAGTTATCCATTCCCATCAATGATTTTTAAAATGCAGGAAAATGTTGGTATTATTATTCTAATTGGATAAATACTTATAAAAAAAATTTCCTAAGTAAGTACTTTTATTATAAATGTTTTAATAAAACATGCTTTTGTCAACTTTCCAAATTAAGACAATTACAATTTTATAAATTCACAATGACAATATCCTGTTAAAGAAATTTAATTCTTACGTTATCTTGGACTTTTTCTTCATTTGCTTCAGTATCCACCAAGGGAGCTTTTCTTGACTTGTTCCTGTTTTTTTTTTCACCAAACCACCTTCAAAATTACATCAAGTTAATTTGAAGTAACTAAGCAGCACCAAACTATATACAATGAATAATTAACCACTATTGTTACAAAATATATACCTCTAAATACACCTAGACCACTATTCTGTCCACCTCTTCCAGTTCCTGGGCTACCTCTTGGGCCACCTCTTCCACGTCTCGGGCCACCTCTTCCACGTCTCGGAATACCTCTCTGAACAACTTCCGGTACATCTCTTTCATGTTTCCTGTTCATTCTAGCTCTTCTTAACACTTCAGTAGTTGAGCTGTCTAAGTTAGCTGCATTTTCTGCTGACTCAATGATGGCATTCTCTAACAAAATAATGTAGAAATATAAAAAATATCACATTTCATGCTACACTTTATAAAAGCACACAATAAAAGCCAATATTTCTATACAGCAAATCCCCTGGTTTACAAAACCATTAAGATGGTACTTGGAAATCGGTAAGATGCAAATGTTTGTATATGGAATATTATTCTAGAGCACAAAATTGTTAATACTAAATTCTTAAGATCTGTGCTCAAGTCCATAGGATATCACCGAGTCCACCCAGCTCTGCAGGGTACCTTACTAGTTTGTGTAAAGTAAAAGCAGCTCGCCATAGATGTCAAAGAAACACTAGCTATTACAAAAGGGACTTCTTTCATACAAATATTTAGATATACAAATAAGTGATAAACACTTGTGTTATTTTAGAAAGTAAATAACTGAAATACTAACGATTTTCTTCAAAACTTTCTTCAAGGTCTGTCAGCACTTTATAGGCTGAGAAAAACCGGAATGGAAACTGCTTGCTATTGATGACAGATTTCTGCATTTTGAAAACAAACAGGTCAGGAAGAAATCTATTACAATAAATTTAAATTTTCAATATTCAACAATTTAAAATTATTCATAAGCAATAATAATGGTATTCAAAATCTTTAAAAAACCTTGATATATTAAAAATGACTTATTTCTAGTTATTAAAACAGTAAACAAAATCTTAAAAATGTTAAAATAAATTTCAGTTTTTCATCCTCAAAAAACTGTAAATGTGCGGTAAACTATAGAAATCAGATAAATCAAAATTTGCTACATCTGTTAGATATTTAAAACGAGCCAACCCGCAGCATATCATACGCCGCTATTTAGTTGTTTTATTTTCTACTTTTCAGTAATTCGTAATTTGTGAATTCGACAGTTCCAATGCTGCCACTGAAAATATTTGCTTTAAAACACTATCAGTAGGTCGTTAAGAACGATACTACCCCCACCCTCCTTTCCCCCAACCCCTATCCTGCACCCCCCCCCCCTTAAAAGCAGCTTCCTCTTAGTTACCTCCCCTAAGTTTAAAATCGTTTCAAATTAAATTATCTGCCCCTAATAGCCGTCACTAAACCCGGCTCTACAATTGTAATGTAAACATTTAGCGTGAACAACAGCTCACCAGACCATGTAGGGGTGGGGTGGTAGGGAGCGCGCTTACAGCTTGTTTTCTAGCGTCTCCCAGAAGTGAATTATATATATAAATGTGTCTAATTAACTATAAAAAAATAAATATCTACAAAGTTTTACACATCTACCTGGTCACATAGACGTTTGAGAACAATGTTGTGATGTTTGGGGGAGATGCCCGCTTTAATCATGTTCCTTAGGTTCCTCAGCATGGCCATGTATGGGAGCTTCTTATGGTCTGAAACAAAATGTACCTCATAAACTTGTGAACACTTGTTTGGTATAACTAATGAGGAAGTCTAAAAAAGAATCACTAATGTGATTGGTCCCTTAAAGAATCTGAGGATAGTCGAAACTATAAAAATGCAATGGTATTGTCATGTCACAAACCAGTGGCCTATACAAAGCAATAATGTAGTGCATTGTGCTAGGAGGCAGACAAAGGGGAAGGCAAAGATGCCACTGGATGGATGATAAATGTTGGACTGGGTTGCCTGTTTCAGAACTACTCAGAGCATCAGAAGACAGACGAATGGTTAAAGATTAAGAGAAACACATCTTTGGTGCCACAACAACACCAATAAGGGTTGAGGGATCATTATTTGATTGATTGATTGATTGATGGTATACAAGACAAATCCATGTATGTACTAGCAAAATAAATAGCAAGGTCAGCTACCTACCAATGAGATCCTCCCAAGTTTTAGCTTTGTTTCCTTTAAGAGAAACTTGTGTTTCCCAAGTCTCTGGAACAGGTAACTTCATTCTTTTGCCTGCTTTTTCTTCTTCCCAAGTTCCAGGTAGACGAGACTTGTAGAATTCTTCTATCGTCGATGGATACCTAAGACACCGGTGGAAAGGGAAATTATTAACAAGAATTCTAGTGTGGATGGATACCTAGGGGGATGCTGTTATTGATAATATAGGAAAAAAGATTCCAGTGGGAACATTTACTGAGAATGCTTGCTGAACACGCAATATTATTTTTAGCTAATCCACAACCCTTAAACTGACCATGACCCCCACTCCTAACATAACCCTGATAGATTAAAAAACAGCAGAAGTTTATTAACTGAAATATGCTTGCTAAATGTATGGTTATCTAGTGTATAAGCATAAGTGATCAGAACTGTTATCACTAGCAAATGACTTTTTTTTAAAAATTGTAACAAAGTCATCACAACTGTTATCTTGTACATTCACTAAAGTGATTGAAGATTTTGTCACTAGATGTACATGTTTTGGGTTGATATCCAGATTTTAAAAAAAACTCACTTTTTTCCAATAATGCTCATTACATGTTCAACAGGTTCTCGAATATGCAGCTTCCTAATCAGATGCTTGATTGTAAATTTTTGTTGTTTTTTTTTTAAGACTTGATCACCACAATCTTCAGGCGAACTGTCAAAATCATCATCACTAGGATGATTGTCATCCAGGTTTCTCATGCTAAAGGCGGATGTTTCAGGGGAGTTAGGAACTTCTTTTAACTTCTTATCTTTAGCTCTCTTCTTTTTAATTGAGCCTTCTTTATTGTACTTGCCTTAATATTTGTAAAAATGCATACAAGTCATAAATGTTGGAAGAAAAAATATTTTTACAATGCAATTTTTAAAATAAAAATAACTTTCATAAATTTCTTTCTCAAAGTTCATATCAATTTGGCAGTCATTGTTTACACCAATTTGGCAGTCATTGCTTACATCAATTTGGCAGTCATCATTACATCAATTTGGCAGTCATTGCTTACATCAATTTGGCAGTCATTGCTTACATCAATTTGGCAGTCATTGCTTACATCAATTTGGCCGTCATTGCTTACATCAATTTGGCCGTCATTGCTTACATCAATTTGGCCGTCATTGTTTACATCAATTTGGCCGTCATTGTTTACATCAATTTGGCCGTCATTGTTTACATCAATTTGGCAGTCATTGATTACATCAATTTGGCAGTCATTGTTTACATCAATTTGGCAGTCATTGTTTACATCAATTTGGCAGTCATTGTTTACATCAATTTGGCAGTCATTGTTTACATCAATTTGGCAGTCATTGTTTACATCAATTTGGCCATTAGTATTTAAATCAATTTAGTCGTCATTGGTTACATTAATTTCATCATATAGTTTTTGTATAGTAGTCAGTTATGGGCATGTTTACCACGCTATCGCATCATGTGCCAGGGTCAAGGTCAAAGGAGCAAATAAACTACATCTCTCCTATAAATCCATCTAGTTGTCAGTATTAGTTTACAAAAATTATTTTCTCATTCTTACCTAACTGATACTTTCATTCTTACCTAACTGATACTTGTCAAACTCTGGAAATTTAGCAATCATGGCTTTTCTCAGAGCAGCGGGTAGGGAACCTAGTTCCACATTTCTTTTATCTAAAGTCTGATATAAGAAAGACAAACATTTCATTAAATAATTCTGTTCACTAGCAGAACTTCAGATTATTTAGTTTACTGTAGAGAAATTTGTTAGATATACTTATACTTTAGTGTAATGCATGAATCTTTTACATTGTAAGTTATATAGCCAACTCATGAAAAATTTATAAAACTGGATTTTTTATTTAGTCAAAGACTTAAACATTTACAAACTTTAAAAATGTTTTCAGCTAGTAACAGAACCCACTGGTTTTTCAACTTTTAAATGGTATAATTAGAAAATGAATACAAAATGATTCACAATTATACTGCAATATTGTGAGCATTTTAATATTTTTAAAGATGTAGCAAAGCAGGATTGCAAAACATAGATTCTAAGAAACCAGGGCTGGGGGCAAATAGAATAGGATGCAAAATTAAGCATCAACAGTTAATATATAGGTATACAAATCATGTTGGCACGCCTGTCTTTGCTCCCACTGGGTAAAACATTTTTCCTTTTAAACAAAAGCTGATTGGACCAACGTAAATAATGTCACTGAACTGCCACTACCTGAAATAATTCTGCCACTTCTATCCAGTCAGAGGGGAGGGCAATAGAGGCATTGAAATATTTCTTGAGGTAGTATCGACATGCACTTATATTGGCAGCCAGTGCTAGCAAATAGTTGGAAGTTGTGCGAATGTTTAACTCCTTCCTAGAGTAGAGGGCTACCTGAACACACAAAAAAAAAATTGTATTATTTTTAATCAATAAAGTGAAACAAACCAGACCTAGTTAACTGTTTATTTAATCATATTTAAATAGTATTCAACTGCTAAATCGAAAGTTTTAAATTTCGTTCTTGGGCTAGACTATAAGACCTCTTTCTGATGGGTACCTGACTAAAGTAAGAAAAGGGGTATACAGAATGAGATGCCTAATAGAAATACTGCATGCAGACCACTTTTAATATTTGACAAATAAATTAGGTGGTATTATCAACTATTGATGACGTCATTTGTGTATTTTTTCGGCAATAGCTTTTTACTTCTATGTTTACTCTAGAATCAATGATGTCATTTTATGGTGTACCTTTCCGGATTTAGAACTGTACATAATTCATTTTATTTTTATAACTTCCTATACATTCCATGTGATGTCACCATCTTTAGCTATGCATCTTTTTAATTTCCTTGTGTTTTCTCTAGAGCGTTCCCAACAGGCAGAAAGAGAATAGCGTAACTATTATTGTAGTTCAAAATATCATTAAAATACCTTCAAAATAAATTCAGGGTCATAATCAACAATTTCAGAAACCCTTTTTTGTATTTCCAGTCTGGTGTCGTCAAACGTGTTTTTAAAGTTTGGTTGCCTGATGAGTGAGCCGCTGACACTATTGATAAGTTGGCGCTATTGAAAAATGTTTGAAAAAATTCAATGCAAATAAGAACCATTTAAAATAAAACAAACTTTCAATTTGTAATGGTTACCTTTAAAAAACTAATTTTGTGAACTAAAATTAAAATTATTGTGATGTTTTTATCATTAAAAAAAATTATGTTAAATAAAAATGTATAACTCTGATAAGTAGTTTAGATCACAAAAATGGAAAGGTAGAGATGTAAAAAATATATACAAATGATATTTATTTTTAAAATCACCTTAAATTCAATTATTTTATTTAATGGTGTCTTAACGCCCTGATTTAGCTTTACATCGTTTGAGGGTGGTATAAAGTTTGGCAAATATTCTACTTCCATAAATCTGTCATCTGTCTCACACTTAATGTAGTACTCAGGTGGGTCTATTGAGTACTGCTTTATTGCTTGACTTAGCAAAATTCCTGTATCACTTTCCACTATCTTCTTTTTTTCTGGTAAAGACTTTGAGGCCAGTTTTCTTTTAAGGTTTGGGGCCTTAGATGAGGAGCTTTCAACTTGAACATCCCTTTTCACTGTTGTTGCACCGGTTAAAAGGGATTTATAACTTAATTCTGTCTCAGTTTTCAATGTCAGCTTGCTTAATCCAGACTCCAACAAAGGAGGTCTTGTCAAAGTGGAATCTTTTAAACTTTGAGTAGGTTTCAGAGAGCTGAATGTAGACAGAGCTGAGAGTGATGTACTTGGCTTGGTACTTGTACTCAGAGATATATTTAAACTTGGCTTGGCACCAGCACTGCTACTTGTGGCTTGTGTGCTCAAAAGTTTATTGCTTAGACTTGAAAGAAGAGAAGAATCTGTTTTTAAATTTGCAGAAAGCAATGATGTAGACTTCAACCCAACGTTCAGTTTTGAAACTGATGAATGTGTATTTAACAAGCCTGTTTTAAAAGATATGCAAATTATTTTTCATTCATCTTTGGCTAAGTAATAATGCATTTTAATCAGAATTTAAGCTTATAAATATTTAACGAATATGTTTTAACTTTAAAGAAATTACCTTTGCTGACTTAAAAACTAACTTAAGATACCTCTGCATCACAAAAATAAATTGTACTAAAACCTAACAATGGTTATTTATAAAAGCAATCAAACTTTATAAAAATAAATGATAAAATTTATGAAGTGTATGTATAGTGATTATGCATATTAGTTTGGTGATTTAAAAACAGCTTGTCTAGTCACTTATTAAGACAGGTTAATGGATACCCATCAGGTATTTTATGAGGTTGTATATACTCAGGTACTACTTCGCTGTGCATGTTTTTCCAAAGATTTTTTTTTTCATTTTTTACAAACCTGAAGTCAGCGCCAATCCACTAGATAAACTGCTGTCTTTGGTAAAATTGTCAAGCAAAGAACTTTGTAAAAGATTCTTGCTTTTGTTATCCATGATTGATATGTGTTGAAATAGCCTCACACAGCAGGCAGCTTCAAATCAACAAAATATAATTGTATTAATATAAGGAACAATGAGTGTAAGATTTGTTTTTAACAGTAAATACATTGTTTGCATTTGTGTTCTCTAGATATGCTAAAATACATTTTAAAAAATCAGTGGACCCAGTCTCAGGAGAAAGACTGCTGAATCCAGGTAAGACCCAAAATGAAAATTGTAATTTCCTATAACTATAATAGAGGCTACTATGTATACCAACACTAACCTGTAATTTATAGCCTAAAGCCTTGTAGTGTCATCCATAAATGAATAGAATCTAAGGGGGAAGAAGAGTTCAAGGGGAAGGGAGTTACAAAATGTGACATAGTATATATTTTGAACTTGTTAAGAGAACAAGAAAAATGAGACATGCAAGTGTTACAATTGTGGTGATTGAAACAAAGGGTTGAACACTGATATATGGAGGGTGAATACTGTTACCAGTGTCTGCTTAGAGTGAAGAAAAGGAAAGGAGTGATACCCTTTCCGAACTGATTGTCAATAGAGCTGGTTTAATAGAGTTAACATAAGTATCAATTAGTGATACTGTGGTCAACTCTACACTGAGTCACAAAAAGGTCAGTCAGGTACCCATCAGAGCTTGATGGACTCAGGGGCATCCTACAGACTAGAACCAGGGATCTGAACCTGAGACTTAGGTTAGCACTCACGTGCTCTACCGTCTGACTCTACCACCCAGTCACACTGGCACATTCTATAAATAGGTTGTTAGTAGTATTGACATTGTGATATCAGGTTTAGTGTTAGGGTTAGAAATCAAGGTTAGTGCTCTGAAAGGATTTGGTTAGTAATACAGCTGACATTAGCTAGATATATTAGTATTTAGTTCACTATTAACAACGGAACAACCTTTTAAAGAAGATTCCATTATTATTATTCTTGTGGTATTATCTGGCACATACCTATCCACCTGTAAATATAAGAATAAAGGCCTGCACCTGGGAAGACTATGTTGGCTCAGAATCAGTGGACAAATTATTACCAAGCTACCCTTCACTGATGACATACCATGGCAAGCATTGAAAGTGAGTTAATAGAATTAGTAGACAGATAGGACAGAACATTGGCAGCATATGGCAGAGAAATCAGCCCTGAAAAGATGAAGGTCTCAACAAACAACCTGAATGGTATAATGGCAGATTAATAGTTAAATGGTCAAAGATTAGGAAATTCACACCTTGAAGAACCTTAGCGCCGTCTTATAAATTATATGATAAGGGAATTAAGAAGTACTCAGTAGTTGCCCAAACGAAAACACTTAGCAAGCTAAGAAGCATTTGATTTGAGTCAAACTTGTGTGGTCCATCTTCTTGTATGGTTGTGAGGCATAAACACTGGGTACAGCTCTCCAGAGATAGACACAGGTTCTAGAAATGTCTGTATAGACCTTTTAGGGATTTCATACACTGACCATATAACAAATGAGATAACTAAAGCATCAATAATGTGGCTGATCCTTTTGTGTGCATCATCTATGCAAAAAAGCTAACATGGTACAGACATGTGACACAATTCAAGGCCTATAAAAAAACAATGCAGGGCAATATGACAGAGGGAAGGGGAGGAGAAGACTTGTGAGGCAAAGAAAAAAAAAAGGCTGCAGGTTTTCAACTAATAGACTATCCATTTTATTACATAATTACTAAAACCAGTAGAAGACCAGGAAGGATGGCAAAGGTATAAAAGGGCAACAATGGTGCCCAAATGACCCTCCAGGATTATAGTCCATTCAAAATAGTAGCAACATACCCAGTCTGGGTTATGATAATTAACTAAAAACAGCTTAAATGCTGTTGTATTTTTTTAATTTCATCATTTATTTAGCAAACTGTCTTTAATAAACAAGTAAAACCTTTTTTAAATGTATCTCAACTAAGTATGTAGTATTAAGTATTAGTATAATAGTCTAGTATAATTATATAGATCTAGTATTTGGGCCTTTATTTTAAAATATGATGAGACTACTAATAATACTAATAATGTCTAATAATAATTATTCAATTATTATTAAATTATTAATTATTACAATATTAGCAACTACTAATAGAATGAATTAAACAAATAGATCTAGATCTATGAATAATAAATAATTTGTGAGGTGATGAATAGGGCATTTGCCTACCTGAGCTGTAGATCTAGTCAACTGAAGTGTTCTTGTTTATTGAGATGTACACACACCATTTACTGAATTTGCTGTTTAACAGTGGCTAGTCTATAAGATCTTGATCTAGATCTAGATTTCTACTTCAAGATTCGGTTACTAATCTAGATTCTATCAATGTGCAAGTCAATCAAGCTAGCTCGATAGGTCTAGTTAGTCTAGTAGTAGACTCTAGGTTAACCATCTGAGGAGGGACAATTTAAAATGAGCTGTTACTTGTTACTCAGACTCAAAGAGCAAGCACATTAAATTACTAGATCTATAACTAACTAATCTAGATTTCTAGATCTAATCTAGATCTAGAATGCTTTTACTATGGTGAATAAAAGCGTGAAACTGAATGAAATTCTGTACATCTAAGGCCAGATCACTATTCAGGACGAGGTTGGGTAAAAATAGTAACTGAATCACAACACAGTTAACCGGCTGTCTTCCTCCGTGCCTGTGCAATATTTCGTGCTATTGCTTGCTAGTCTAGTTATGCACTAATAGTACTAATATAGCCTACTTATTCTAGACTTAACTAGATATATTTGCAAGGTCCTAAATATAAAATTTGTTTTGTTTATTTAATAATTTATGGCTATGCGCACACTAGAAGAAGTATAGATCTAGAAATCTAGATCTTTTTTTTTTTACTTCTTAGTCTTTTAGTGACGTTTTTTAGGCTGCGTGTGTTGGTGTCTAGGCCTAAATCAGTCAGTGATCGTAAAAGTCAAGATCCATAGAAAGATCCATACTCTGAAATGAAATTATCTAGATCTAGATTTAGGTAGCGCTGTCTCTTTTCGTTTTATCTGTTACTATTGGTAAACAGAGGCGTATCTAGGGGGAGGGGTGTGAAAAGGCCGCTCATCCATAAGAGCATATTAGAACAGTGTCGACTTTTTCGTAAAATTAAAATTAATTAAAACAAGCATGAACAGTTAGTGATGAATAACCAAAAATAATGAATGGGAAATGATGCATCTATCTTGTGGTCGGCGTCCTGTAGGCCTATAATAAACAGTTATTGAAGGCGCCTTTATATATGTGGCCGGTTTCTGTACTAGTTGGTTAATGAGTTAATGAGGATGATTATAATATGGGAAAAAGGGGATAGAGGTAAAAATCGTTTTTAAATGCCAGACTTTTAGAGTAAGGACACTTAATTTCAACTATATAATCATTGTCTATCGGGCCATCAGGTGATGCTCCTAGAATTCCATTTTCATGTAGAAAAAGTCCACATTGTTTTACACTTTGACCAGTTTTTATTTCAAAAGTATTGGATGCCTGCATCTCATTATTAATGCCCCACATTATAGACTGCACACCTGCTAAACGTTTTTCATTTATAATTCTATCAACTAGGGATGAAGTTAACTTTTTTTGCATTCAGAACATATCCAAACTTGCTAGCGGTAAGCCTACCTTTCGTAAAATGTGCCAGAGATCATTTTTACTTTGACCTACTGTCAATTGGGATATTGTTTTAATTTGGTCAAGACTTACAATTGTTTGGCTCTTACAATATGAAACTTTGTCAGTAGTGTTTTTAAAATCATTTTCTTTTAGAATATTGTCAATTACATGTAGCTTCAAGTCTTCTTCTTTGTGCTCTGGTGATAAAGCCCAAAATGTAGGCGTATCATTTCCATGTTCTGCTATCTGTTCTTTAAACCATTCAATGTCCTCATTATTCATTACACGAGTACAGGGACAATAGTTTTCACTTTTTTGGAATACATCGTTTACAAAAGAACCTTGTGCTTCTAATGGTTTCTTAGCTGACCATAAGCAGGGCACATCTGTTCTGCTCATGTTATCTCTACAGTGCATATACAGTGCAGCTGTGTGAGAACATCTGTGATTTCCTCTTGGGCATTCGCAAGTAGCATTGGTTAGGCCTATTTCTTTATTTTCATTTAGATCTAAATTTGCCTGAAAAATATTTTTTTAAATTGTAAAATATCTGAAAAAAGGGTAAAAGTATTAATTTTATAATAATTTTTTAATAGATTGATACAATACGTCTTATACATGTAGATCTAGTTTATACATAGACGAGTCTAGATCTATTAATTTTTTTTCAAAGAATACTTGTAATACTTAGATCTACCGTTACTGTGTAAACTGTAAACTTTCTTTTTCATACTTGCACGAACTTTTCATAGTTAAAAAAAAGAACATCAGCCGATCTACAGTGGTTTTCACCTCTCTCTAGAGATTTAAAATCTTGTTTGAAAAAATTTGTCAAATTTGTAATGCTTAAAAAAAGACATTTTCATAGATTTTCGCCTTTCGAATTACCGGCGCTAGCAGACTATATTTAGTAAGGGAGGTCACTCTGTTAATTTTCGAGAGATAAATGTTCTTTAAATCTCAACTCTTTGGATATTTATAAATGAAATAATGTAACTAAAATTAAATGTCGATCTATTTCAATTAAGTTGATTTAATAAATTTTATCACAACTATTTAAAAATTGTTTATTTTCGTATATCCGATATACGAAAATACACAATTTTTAAATAGTTATATAGTATATAGCCAGCCCTATATGTAATGGGCCTAATAATCTGAAACACAAACTGACCATACCGAGGATTAGCTAAATATAACATACGAGCCGACCCGCGGTGTATCATACGCCGCTATTTAGTTGTTGTTTTTTCTACTTTTCAGTAATTCATAATTTGTGAATTCGACAGTACCAATGCTGCCACTGAAAATATTTGCTTTAAAACACTAAACCCCCCTCCCCCCCCCCTTTCCCCCCTCTTGAAAGCAGCCTCCTCTTAGTTACCTCTTCTAAGTTTAAAATCGGTTCAAACTAAATTATCTGCCCCTAATAGCCGTCACCAAACCCGGATCTACGATTGTTTTGTAAATATTTAGCGTGAACCACAGCTCACCTGACCATGTGAGGGGGAGGGGGTGGTAGCGATAGAGAGGAAGAGAGGGGACTGGAAGGCGTGCTTGCAGCTTGTTTTCTAACGTCTCCCAGAAGAGAATTATATATATAGATAAACTATATATTAATTAATAGTGGCCAAGATTTTAGATTAGCCCATGGATATTTGAGTCACTAGATCGTTTTTAGGACCAGATTATAAAATATAATAAGGAATTAAACTGAAGTCACCCACCTCATGACTTTAAACTTCAACCCACCCCTTACACATATTGCAAAGTGTTTTTATTATTTTCCTCAAATTGTTGCAGTGGTTTATACATTTTCTTTTATCTCTCTCAAGATGTTCACTTCTGATATTATGCTAACTACCAATTTACACTATATTTAATTAAATATGTAAACTTACAAATTACAAATCATATAGTGCAGTTATATGTCTTTAACTATTAAATAATAATGTATATGTTCAAAGTATTAAGTATACTATAAGTAGACCTAAGTATGTTCATGATATAATAGATCATTGCAATTTAAGAATAAGAGTCTTCATTCTTCAATAATAATTGACAATTACATTTTCATTAATTCTATAAATTTAATAAGTGCAGTACCATTTGATATCAGAAGATCCACAGAGAGGTGGAGTATATTTCACTTGTTTCTTTGACTTAGGCTAATAAAGCAGTTGTATGGTTAACATTTAAAGTCAGTATCTCAAGCCAGTTACCCTTGGTGAACTCAAGCCCTGAAACCACTTCTCTGGATTAGCAATTGTGTGCTGTAATGCTCAACAAATAAATCCCATTTTCATATGTCATTGTAAATATATATTTCTGTTCACAAATAATTCAAATATTGCTTTAACTTTAATTATGAGTAGAAATATGATAAGAGCAACTGGTTTCATTGTTCATATTAAACAATATTACATGTACAACCTAAATATGTCCTTTTATAAATTATTAAAATTAATTATTCTTTTATTGAGTGTGTTGTTTTAATACCAGTTCTTTGTGTGTGTGTGTGTGGGTTCAAATATTTTTAAAACTGTAGAGGAAACTAAATAGTATTTTACTTGCAAATTTTGTTTTAAGCAACTCACACTGGCATTAGACTGCTAACCCAGTAGTCAGTAGAAAGTCCCTGAGTGCACCCAGCAGTGATGGGTGCCTAACTCACGTAAGTGAAAGTAAATGTGGATGGGCATATGGCTGACCAAATCATCCCTTCCAATGCCAAGGTCACAAAAGTAGGTGAACTCTATGTTGTCAGATCCATGGATCAACAGGTTTGAAACTGGAGCTTTACTACCATACAACAGGGGCGTAGCAAGGGGGGGGGGGGGGGGCGGGGGGTGCGGACCGCACCGGGTGACACCATTTAGGGGGGGTGACACCAAGGCAAAAAATAGCAAAATATATAGAGAAAAACTCGAGGGGGGGTGCAAATCGAAAGTTTGAGGGGGGGTGCAAATCGAAAACTTGAAGGGGGGGATGCAAATCGAAAGTTTGAGGGGGGGGGGTGCAAATCGAAAATTTGAAAGTTTGTCCCTGGGAAGGGTCTCTATGCCTCTGGGGGGGGGGGGTGACACCATTAAGTGCCGCACCGGGTGACACCCGACCTCGCTACGCCACTGCCATACAACTCTCACTATTGTTTACAATATTTTCATAAACTAACATTACAAATACAATTAAAAAAAGAAATTTAACATAAAATGAATGAGAAAAATTCAATATTTAGTAAATAAATTTATCATTTATTTAATATTTAAAGGTAAAGGTATTTGATTTATTACTTTCCAGTAATTGCAGGGGATTTTTTTTTCTTGCATCAAATATTGTTCTTCATATATTGCAGTCTTAGATGAAATCTTCATTATAACACACATTTTGATTTCATGTTTTGTTGATAGTCTTGGTTGAGGTTTCCTGGAACTTGTGTAATGTGTAGGCTTCTTTCTAGAGGTCTATATGCACTGATTTAATTCAGGTAATCTGAAAAATAGATGTACACACAATATTTCTACTCAGAATTTTCTCTTATAATTATAGTTTACATGTTTATACATAATCAAAATTTTAAATAAAATTGAAACTAAAACTAGACATTAAATCTATAACTACTTTAGGTCAATATATATTGAACATTAAGCCTAGATTCTATTACTAAATCTAAACTCTAGATCTAATAACCAGGGTACAAGGCCTACTAAACAAGTGGATATAGATCTAGATACATTTTGCTATATAGTATATTGCATACTAGATCTAGATTGTGGGCTAGAGTAATAAGTGTATGTTACAATATTTACTGACACTAAGTCCTAGACAAAATTTCTAAATTACTGTGTAGATTGTTACTACAGCTCACACTAGCAATGCTACAGTCACTCTCTATTACTACACTAGTGAACTCTACATTTACAACTCTACACACCTTTTAGGCCTTGCCTTAGCTTAGACCCCACTAGACTAGACAGACTGAGATAGGTAGTACTAGACTAGAGTAACTAGATCTAGATTTAGATGGATTACAACTAGATCTAGCTCTCTACTCTACAAGCACACACTAGAATCTAAAATTTAGATCTAGAATTCAATCTAGATCTATTCTAGATCTAGAATCTAGTAGATCTAGATTCTAAATTAAATCTAATCACTGTACTGTCACTTTTTATTTAGAGGGATCAGTATAGTTAATAAAGTAGATATAGGCCTACAGATATTATATATTTAGCATCAGGTAGATTTAGAGTTTAGATCTATTTTTGTAATATTCTCAGTTATTCTGTCATCGAACTTGACGGTCTAGAATAGTCTAGATCATGGGTTCCCAACCTGGGGGTCGCGAAGGGCTTTCTGGGGGGGGGGGGGGGGGGGGGGGGGGTCGCCAACGTAGACTAAACTCTAGCAATGAATAAAAAACATAAATATTTAGAACAATATTTTAAATTAGGCATTACTAACATCACTGGAAATCAGAGGCGTAGCGACCCTTCCCTGCGCCCGGGGACATACTTTCAATTTGGCGCCCCCTTGGGAGCAAATTTTCGATTTGCACCCCCCCCCTCGAATTTTTCATTTGCACCCCCCCCCCCCCATCAAACTTTCGATTTGCACCCCCCCTCGAACTTTTCATTTGCACCCCCCCTCAAACTTTCAATTTGGCGCCCCCCCTAAGGTCGGCGCCCGGGGACATATGTCCCCCCCCGCCCCCCCCCCCCTCGCTACGCTACTGCTGGAAATGGAATAGAGAATGTACAAATTGTACCGTGCAAAGTCGTTCTTAGTCAGGAGTCTATGAAAACTTCCAAACGTCAATTTGAGACGAGTCATTCGGAACACACCAAAAAAGATATGTAGTTCTCGGCATTTGCAAACGGGCCACCGCGCAAAAAAATTTCTGAGCCCCCTCTTATATATATATATATATATATATATATATATATATATATATATATATATATATATATATATATATATATATATATTCTATATATATATATATATATATATATATATATATATATATATATATATATATATATATATATATATACACAGAACACATACATTAGATACTCATTTCTGGCCTGGTCTGGTTTTGAAAAAATATGTGATTTTTTTTTTCAATTTAAACAAATTACAACATGTCACATATGTGTAGTGCATTGGTCTGTTGTGAATTTTTTTTTTTTTTTTTTTTTTTTAGAACTAGATCTAGTTTATTCAATATGTTTGCTGTAATTCAACCGACCCTCTAGTATTTAGCCGGTCAAAATAAAAATAAAACGGGAAAGCTTTGTATGTGTAATCAAGTGTAATGGTTTCTCGTGTTATATTTATTTTTATGTTTTTTTGTATTTATATTATTTGTTTTTAAATATATTTCCTTTTTATGCTATGCCAGTCTTTAGTTTTTATTTTTTTAAATAATAATTAAGAGAAGTAATTGCTTTTTAATTTGTTTAGTTCAAATATATTAAAAGGAGCTTATGCGTACCCCTATTTAACTATTTAAAAAAGGGAAATAAGTCATGGAAGTGTTTTGAACGTTTGCCTATCTTTCACACTACAGCTCAGGCAATATATATATAGGCTATTTTTTTACACAACAGCATGTGTTAGCTACTGTATAACATCACGATTGTAGTAGATCTGTTTGTTATTTACAAAAGCTTTTACCGTCAAGTCAAAAATGCAAGAAATGTTTTGTGTAACTATAAAACATTTT